GTTACATACCAGAATTTACTGAAAAACAAATTCTTTGATGCCCTAACTTTTGTGCGTTGGTGTATCCACTTTCTTTTGTTCATGGACAGTATATAGAATGTGGATAAAAAGCGCAAGATTTGGCCAACTTCTTCTTTCTTTTGTTGCGCATGATATAAAACAACGGAAACGCGATGGAAACGTTTTTCGTGCTTCCTCTAGTGGTACGCCCAATTTATTGTGACCCAAAGCGTATTGAGAAAACTAACGGCCAACAGAATGTTAATAACTAATCTGCATCTATCTGTAAATAGCAAATATTTTACTTGGTTGTTCGTAAGAGAATTAATCAAACAAACATGTCTAATAGCATGCCGTAGTCATCACGGCACAATAAAAATCGCATTAATTGCGGCAAGTGTTAACTTAGTAATAGTGCCCACGTCCACCTGCCTCAGATCAACTTCCGCCCAACTGCGTTCACTGCCATCGGGTTGAAAACCATTGTACCTACACAACCAGAACAAATTCAAATTTACGAATGCATTATGCAGTTGCACAAATCCTGCTTAAACTTACAGCTGAAAGAGACGTCGAATGGAACACCACTGATTGGGATATTCTAGGTTCTCCACCCACCGTCGTTGGATGGAACGGACGTTGTTGTACACTGTTGCATCAAGCTGACAATGGTTCAGCTCCGCTGCTAATAAAAGTTTGCGGAGCATACCGGCATCTCCATCATCGGAATGCAGCATTAGAGAGGGGAATGTAACTGCGACGCTCCGGTATCTATCCTTTAGGTAGGCCCTGGTCAAATCAGCTTCCTGTCGTGGGAACTCATCGAAACGAAACATTTGCCATTCAATAACCTTGGTAATATCATCGATCAGGTAATTCTGAAGAAAAAGCCGCCGGCAAACGGTCTTGAGTTTGGCCAAATTGTCGCACTTCCAACTACGATCGCCCTGATGATTACCAGTCTCTGGCATGTCGTACATTTCCGGGTAGTTTGATATACCGTAACTTGAAAAGCCATCTTTAATTACGATGTACTGCAGTTGAGTCTCCTTGATGGTCAACAGCGTTACCAACGCCACGGTGAAGCAGGTCAAATCTGTGAGCTGAGGGGCATTTAATAAGGTAAGGGTTCTGGTGTTGGTTGTTAAGGCCTGATTTGCGGCCCAGCTGAAGTCATACATATGTTCGCAGCGAAGAGCGTATTCAGATAGCTTGTTCGGCTTCAGCATCGAGATGTCGATGAAGACGTATCGGCTGAGGAGACGATCGGATAAAAGCAGATGCCACAATGTGCAGACCCTTAAGGAAAAACAGGTTTTGATTAAGGTGGCCCGGCTGCTGGTGTCACATTCGTGGCACGCGCGAGAACTTTCGCTTTCGCACACTACAGCCAAATCATTTGCAAAATATTTGGCACGCAAACCGTTTGTCCACACAATATCCGGTTGGAAAATTTCGGGTGAAGGAATACTACATAAAGTTCTAACCCAGTGGAAGCGTACCAAAAGTCCGAGTCGATAATTTAGCTGTAAGTTTGAGCCGATAATTTTCTTTCATAAATTTATCCATAACTTGATAACCAGACTTTGCCGCAAAAATGATTTTCACGCAACTGTTTACAAATCATTTGGCTGCAAAATGTCATAAAATAATGCAAAAAAGTGTTATAAATTGCACGAAAGCCAAAATTTTCACGCAAGCACACAAAATTTGGTTCTATGATTGTACGTACTGGGTCACTACCATTAAAGACGTAAAAATTATTCAGGTAATTATACACTTTCTGTGCTTCAAGAAAATTTGCGAAAAAGACCACTGCCAAAGAAACAATTGTGTGTGAAAATTTCACACACAATTTCACAGTGAAATACCTAAAAATTTGTGTTGTTGCAACCGTTTGTTTGGTGACATGTCTTTACCTTCTTGCTTTTGCTTGAGAGTAAATGTCCAAACTTCTGAGAACATAAGCCATAATCGGGTGAACCACATCAGCGATCCATCCGTCATTATCTACAATTCAAACACTACACTACACTTTATCATAGAAAGCGTAGCAACATTCACCTTGTAGTACTGCAGTTAAACACCGTTACATTCAGAGAGCCGCAATATGTAACAGTCTCAAAGGGCGAGCCAACGCGCAACCATTTCTTCAAAGTGCTGCTTGGCTGCCTTAGAAATCATACCTAGGATTCCACACGGTGGGTGCAGAGTGCAGACTATAAACCTACCGAAGATTAATTCTTGCTGAGGGACCGCAATAGGAGTACCGGTTAACACAGGGGGATCCGGAACAGGATTCAACGTAGCGCAGGCGTGCGTTAAGGTATCCAGATGCCATTCGGCACGACTGTTGAGATGATCATCATGGAGCTGAGCGCAGATAAATTTGAGGGAATCGCCATTGACAGCCACATAGGCACGGTTTGAAACGTAATGATTGCCAGGGGAATCCCATCCAGGATGGTCTGGGGACCGGGTTTGGGCTGCTTTTCCCAGGCAAGTTCGTATTGCTGCCGCATCTAACACCGTAATCCTGCGCGCATTCGGGAAGGGCACGGTGAATCTCCGATAATATAGTCCGGTGGTTTTCCCGTATAGCGGTGGCGCGTCGAAAGCAGGATCAATCGCGACGGCAATCTGCCATAGATGGACTACTAACCGTTGTGGCGTAGCCCCGTGGTCCAACTTGACAACGAATACACCCAGGCGAGTCGTTGATGTAATGAGTCGGGCCGGGCGAAAAACGTGTGGTCCGTTCTCTGCGCGGCGCAACGCCACCTGCACAGCACAACTACCGGTTACTGCCACTTCTTTGTCCAAGGTGAAGCGCAGATTGTCGCTGAGGAAGCGCTGAGCCCGGATGTGGCGTGAGTGGATCCAGCCGGCGGGAGCCGTTGTGGAATCGAAATTCACAAACATGAGCTCCTCATCGATATCCTGCACGTATCCCAGCCACCATTCCCCGTTTTCACGCTGTACTAACACCGTATTCCCGTAGTTAATCTCGCGTGGGCCGCGTGCTAGGCCTCGAAAAGGATACGCTGTATGGGCTTCCATGGCAGAGTAAATTAACAATTTTCTGGCATTCGAATAAAATTTACGTGGCAAAATGCACGATAGGAATTAAGTAAAGTGCGCAGATCGCTGCAGAAAACCAACTGTGGAGCGGAACACTGTCAAATACAGATTGGCTGTTAATCGAAAACCGTTCGAAGTTGCGACCATTAGGGGAGTAAGCCTTCAAAAGAAATTGCGTAGATCGAGATCATAAGATCCTGCACGGAGCATACAAAGCGAGTGAAATGCCCCATGCCGGATGTCAAACAGGAAAAGGCAATACTGTTCTGCTCTGTGTATTCTGTGAACTGTCCAAATAGCATAGTAATTCGTACTTTCGGTTGGTCTATTCTAGTGGCTGTGGCGGAATGCGTACTACACAGCACAACCTGTACATGAGCCAGTTGTACTGCCAACACAGAGCACTGCACGGGTCAGAGCGGCTTTGAACCTAATCTTGCCAAAATTTGATAGACGTTGATTGCAGATACTGGATCATACAGCGAGAATGTTGCACCCATGACGCGTCGCTTAGCTCGCTGGATTTTTGTGGCTGATTCGGGCAAACGGTGCGGTCTAATTTATGCTTGCTGATCAAATTGCTGGTTTATAACAGCAGCCGTATAATATACTATTGTGTCGTATGAATGTAACTGTAGAACTGAATTTGTTGGTTATTTGAGTTAAAAAGCCTGTCACTGCCATGTCTGCGCAGAATTTTTGTACATTCAAGACATGATATCATTTTATTTTCTGCGTCAAATTCCACCCGTGCTTGGCATATCTGTGTAGTAAATTTACCATTAACGTGTTCACTGGGGAAAACTCTTTTTGAAACTTCAAAGCTTTAAAACAAGTTGAATATGTAGCTGGGGGGTTTGTCAAACTGTACATGTATCGTACCAGCTTACCTTTACGACTCCAACTCTCACGTAACCTTTCCTGCGACACAACAATTAAAACATTCATACGCAAAAAAATGCACAATATATTGTACAAGAGCTGCGTTATGAATTTACGGCTATCGGTCTAAGGCTACGGATGCGTTTACATGATTGTGATGTAAAGCAGAGAAAGCAGCGATTACTTCAGTTTTTTTCCAGCATTGTACAATACGGTTCAAGTTTACTGGCTTTGAATATGATTTTCCAGCTTGTAAATGCCAAATTACGACGCTCTAGTCAGAAGGAGCTCACAGAGGTTGGCTATTAATTTGCTCTCGAAGCCACCACGCCTGTACTGCGGTTGTGATGCTTAGGAATAAGGAAAGGTCAAGCAGTCGCTAAAACAAACTGTCGGCAGGGTCCCAATTTATTTCATTAATTACACCCAATTTAACAATTTAAATGTCGTAAGACAAATACTAAAGTTGAAAAAAACTTTTATTTGAACACCGCATGATTAAAATTCCGAAATTCAGTTAATCAGCGATTACCAGATCATTAGAATCTCCACCCGATGGTGGTTACACGGTCCAGTATATAACCACGTATAAATTGCACGATTTTAAGCGCATTTCTCGCATAAGTGGATGTTGAACCGATGGAGGAATCCTTGGTATAGCGTGACGGAACTTGAATGAGATCCTAATTAATCAAAATGCTGACGAAAAGGTTAAAAGGTGTGGTAGTCAAAAAGCCGACAATGTGTTTTACAGCACAGTTTGTATATTGGTGCATGCCATATATACTGCAGCGCATTTGTGACACAACACGACATACGCAGATGATATTTTTATGATGCAAACTATGGCTCTGTCGTCTAGTAAAATTAATAGTGATCTGCATTATTGTCTAATTACATGGACGTTCATGTGTAATTCAAGTATCAGTTAGTGATAGAAACGACTTGTAAAACGACCGAGACCCTCTCCGAGAAGGTTACTATACTTGGAAACCGCAGCGTGACAGCCAAACTACTTCATAAAAGTGATTACGTTTTTCATTTTTGCTGACTGACAGTTCGTCTAAAATGCCTATGCGAGCTCGCTTCGCTTTGTATTGCCAAACATTTCTCATGATTTAACAAGACGTGGCAGCCCAGAAACTTATTTAGTAACGGACTTCCCGACCAAGTTTTCATCCTGCGCTGCACGTTCCCTTAACGGGGATAAAAACAGAAATTCGTATTACACCGTTAATTCTACTTTGTCGTAAAATCGGCGAGCATCGTTTTCAAACGTTGATTCAGTGACTGCAACGCTAATACCGTCGTAAACGGAAACGGAATACATCCATCCATTCGAACGCCATTATTCGGAGGTTCACCAGCTCGTGCAGTGCCTTCCAAAGGCGTCATAAACGCACCGCACTCCACTGCTAATGCTACCGCTACTTCCAGTAATGCCCCAACTGTCAGGGCCCGCAGAACCCCAACGATCGGACGACGATGTCGCGAAGCTGGAATCACAGCGGACTGTGTTGCCGGAGACCTGGCAGGGTAATACGCCGTACTGCGTCTGGCAGAGCGCCATCGCTCCTACTTCCTGGCAGTGCGCCGGAAGCCTCGGGACCCCCCACATCCTCCACCCGCACAACCGTCTGGGAAGAACCCTTCAAACATGTCATCATCATCGTCGTCGTCAAAATCCCAGGAAGGGTATTTGGGCGGCGGTGGACGCCAAGGCGCTGGAGTGGGATTATCGTCCTCCGCAACACCCCATGAAGGATACTCTCGGGTTGTTGTACGCCGCGGGGCTGGGGTAGTTTTACTGCCGGCTGGTTCTTTCCCGTTGGCCACGCCCTGGATCCAGTCCGTGTAGTGGCTGACCTTAGTGAAGACGTCGGCTGTGCCAAGATTACACCTGCACATACATAACGTTATATACATAGCGTTATATTTCACATATTCTCACGGCGCAGACTCCCGCCCACAACCGACGGTCTACTTATCCAAACCGGTTTTTACGTTTAATTACGTTAGCTCCCGTAATGTGACGTACTGTACGGGTGTTCAAAGTTCCTGAGTCCTGACCAGTCAAATATCTGTGCTTTTTAATATTGATGCGATGTATTGCGCTGTAATAAGTGTGCTTTCTTTTTATTTTGAGTGAATCCAGACGGATTATTCGATACAGTTTGCACTATAAATGTACGACGGAAGCTCCGATGTAAATGTACGACGTGAGAAAACCGGTTTTTGGAATCGTTCACGCATAATTCCGTAACGTGGAACAACGCCTCATAATAGCGCATCATACAAGTTAAGATTTCGGGATCTTCTCCCGGAGACGAATCGATCAGAGCATGGTAAAAGCATGGTAAATGCCAAAATTACAGTGGACTTCACAAAAGTAGTTACACATTATGCAAAAGTAGTTACCCATCCTTATGCATAGCGCTATCGGCTTTAGAATTGCTAAGTGTACATTGTACCATAACTGTGTAACCACACATTTATGAAGTCCATTGTAGGAAGGTAAAAGCCAACACAAGTTTTGGCCAAAGATAAAAGCCGTTTCTTCGGAATGTTTTTGGATGACCGGTTTTACTGCCAACGATTGCATGATTTCCTGTTAATCAGCGCGTTGCTATCAACGCTTCCTAACAACACTGGTAAATTATCGGCATGTGTGATAGGGACGCGAGCTATCTCGCCAGGAGTGGGTAGGAGCAAGCGGCGTCAACTCGGCATTTTTGGTGTACTTTAAGCTGCTGGATCAACGTACCCTTTCACGCCGTAACTCGTCAGACCGACTAAATAATCCACACCACTCCGCCGGTTCACCAAGGGTCCACCGCTGTCGCCCTAGGCAAACGAGCGCCGTCAGATAGTTCGACAAAATTTCCTCGAGGAACGGCGGTGCCGCGCCCCGGGTTCAGCGTACCTCGCACGTGCCGGATGTCTCGTTCTCGGTACAGATCTGACTCTGGGGGATTGGCCCCGTTTTCAGTTTCCGCTGGCATGTTGCGCGATCCAATAGTTTGAGCGTGGTTTTCAGCAGCTGCTCGGATGGTGAGGCATACGGTCCTTCCTCCGTCAGTCCCCAGCCAACGGTGTGCAGCTCCGTACCCACGTCTGGTTCCCGGTTGGCTGGCGGTAGTTCGACGCTGGAAACGTTGCCCTTACCAGCGGCACTCTTGGCCAAACGCAGAATAGCAATATCATTACGAATACGCTGTTTGTCGTAATTGGGATGCGCTACGGCTTGGCGTACGGCAATAGTGTTGGAGCGGGGAACGCCAGTGCGCCGACGAATACCGACAGCCACCGTGAGATCTTCCACTGGCACCGGATAATCGCTGGAAGGAAACCCACACGCGTCTCACCGTGGTGAACAATAAATCAAAATAATTCATTGATAAATTTTCTGCTCGTACTGAATATCAAAGATGCAGTGCGCGGCTGTGATGACTGACTTGAGATCCTGCAGTACCGATCCCCCGCACACATGTCGACCGTTGTGGCGTATGCTGACGACAAAGTTGAATTCGTCGGCCCGGGCCACTCTACCATCTAAAAATAAATCTTCCTTATTTTGATTTCGAAGTTTAGAAACCGAAGCATTTGCAAACTCAGGGTAGTGTAAAATCCGTCTATGTGACAGCACAGATAGAAGTAGTCAAATACCTCTTGACTTTTGAAACTATTTAGATAAAATTATTTATAATTGAAAACCTAGATATCTTTAACAACGCATTTATTTAATATAACATTTTATTTGAAGATTCATGAACTGAAATAAGCATACTGTTTTTACAATACTCGTTTGCAGAAATACTGGCCTAAATTCTTGGGTTAAAGCTCTGAAAAAGATGATAGATAACATAATTTTGACTGACTGCTCTCTGGTAAATCTTCTTTAATTTCCATAATTTTCTTCGCTTAAACTTATTATTTTAAACACAGTTTATCAAATTTTCAAGATTTATTTCTACCGTATCAAATCGTTTTAAACACGCGGGGCTCATTATTTTCAAAACGAATTCACTCTGACGTTTGCCCTTAAAAATCTGAACATGTGATCTCAACCGCGAGAAAAACTACAGCGCGCCGCCATGCACCGCCCATTGCTCACTACGTACTTATAATTCGTGCTGACATGGAACCTCTTGTGGTCTCATCGGCGTAATCCGGGGGACTGGTGACGGTATCGCCGTCATCATCATCGGCCGCGAACGAAGCAGCCCGGCGGCTGCCAACTGGCGCTTCGCCGCTGTCCGGGTAATCCTCCCGGATCTTGATCTTTCGGCCTATAATTCAATAAGTTCCCTCAGTGCTATTGTTAAGTTTTCGGGACCAGGATAAAAATAATTTATTCACCGCGTTCACACCAACACCTACCGGCTGTAATCAACATACAGCAACCGCACACCACGAGCATCAATATCAACCGCATTCTGGGACGAATATTTGTCTGACGGTGACTGCGTTTCACAGAGTCTGAACGCAGCGATCTTTTCTGGGTGAAAATAAGATGGCCTCAATTATTCCACATTGAACGCGATGGGCACCAAATGAAATCGGCATGCATTTTTGTTTATGCGGAAACTAAGTCGGCAATTCCCGGTATGTTGACGTATGTGCGAGTGAACTGTGACCAGGAAGTATTGCACGCTGCGTGCGAGCCCGTGATCGTGGCCAGCCTGGCAAATGATACGACATACTATCCTCGTACTTATCTTGGTTCATGTGACGTGCATTGCAGAAAAACTACCTTTGTCGTCAGGGTCGTTCGGGAAATAAGATTAAATCGATTCACTGAAGAAAGGAAAGTGATGCCAAGCCCGTACCGTGCAAACGTCAGCTATATCCTATATCCTAATCCTAATCTAGGTATCTGCTGCCGTCTCGATCGGCATACGTACGTGCTGCCGTTGTCAAAATGAGACAGGAAACTAATTTGTTGGAGCATTCGTTGGCGGAAAAAGATCGCCGGCTGTTTTATGGGACAGTAAATCCTTCTCAGAATGGTACGCTGATGTGCTGCGTGCGGTTGACCGTAATTTTTGCGTGAATTGCACGATTTTAACATATTCAAAGCGTTTCCAATATTATTTTATCGTTCAACGGGAAAATAATGAAGTGGTACAAAAGGTCAGCTGAAGTCTTGAATCACTGGGCGTATCTGCAGTATCAGCAAGTATCGCACGGCGAGCAATATAAACACCTACTGTAGTTATCTTGTTTTCTGATTGATAAACCTCTGAGAGAAAATTGTTATTCTCAATAATTCAAAAATTTGTTCTGCTACTCACAGTGTTCTATAATTTAACCTCGGTGGCGAATATGACGCTTAAGACTCGTGAATGCTTAGTGCTTTGCATACAAAGCAGGTCATTATGCTCATTACCAACCTCCGCTATACATGCACAAATCGTGAGACCAATAGAAGAAACAGTGATCACACAGAATAACAGAGGAGGAACGAAGAACAATAAAGACATTAATAACTCTTCGCTGGCTAGAAGTCGACCATGTACGTGCGCATCTTCGCCGGTGGCCCACAGTCGCCCAGACATTTTCCTTGTGTAAACGGTTTTGCGGAGTATTGGCCGCTTCCACAGCGCCGTTGATCCAGTCGGCAAAGTGGCGTATGTCCGTCAGCACCACGGGACCGGGAACCGGACACCTGCAATAAACGCTTATTAGCGCCCCGTTCGCCAGTAGGTGACTGGTGGCTTTCTTACCCGCGAATAGCGTGGCTGACTATGCCAATCAGCTTCGGCTTAGGCTGGCTCGCGTCAACCAGGGGTCCGCCGACATCATTCTAAATCAAAATTCACACAAATTAGTGATGATGATGCAGTAATAATACTAGAAAAGATAATAACAAAATTATATATCCTATTTGAGATAAACCTATCATGGTAATAGAGATTAATTTCTGGAAAAAACTGAGAGAGCCGTTTCCATACGAAACCTGAAACCTAAAGAACCTAAAGAAACTCACCTTGCAGACGGTGAGATTGTGGCTGACCGCGCACAGTTTTCCGGTGCCGCGCCCGAAGCCCTCGGCGCTGCTGCATTCCTCCGGTTTGGCCAGGCGCAGCTGGGTCTTGTACAGCTGGTACGGCACAGTCGGCATCGGGTAGTCCTGGGGCCCGGTGACGCCCCACCCGACGGCGGTCAACTTCTGCCCGACCGCCGTTTGACCGCCCGCCCCGAGGGAGCGTGGTGCGCCGGGCAGTGTGCCAGTGGTGGCGTTGGCCAGTTTGACAATAGCGATGTTGTTGTCGTACTCGTTGAACTCGGCGTGGTAGATGACGCGCTGGATACCGACGGTGTTGGCCGACGAGACTTCCGGTTGGTAGATGATCCCGGTCGTCGCAGTTAACTGGTTGTTCCATTTAGTTGCGAACCTTCGACCAGGAATCCATTTTTTAATGGTTTTTGATTTTTAAAAAGAAATTACGGTACTGTGTAAAGCAGCGGGCCGCGGTCAGGACGTGCGTCGGCGTAAGGAGGATCCCACCGCAGAAATGTCCGTAATCCCCGCGGAAGCTGACCATAAATGGGAATTCCCCGGGTTTCACCACGTAATCCTCGGGTTCTGTTTCGCAAAACCAAATATTATGGTGTAACTGCAGATTTAGCAAGCACAACTTAAGATTTCTAACAATCGCTATGAAAATGACCTTTATTGGTGGCGCGCCGGTATTGGTTGGTGGCCCAGGTGGTGGCGACGCGGCAGCCGGCGGCACGGTGGCCGGTGGCCCGGTGGCCTGGCTGGCCGAAACGGCGTGCGTATTATGTGGCAACCAGTGGTAATCGTAATCGTTCGCAGTGACTATAACAAAAATTTATGTGGTAAACGGTTCGCGTCAGCGGATTCGTGCGGAATGTGTTGATTACCAAGACACAGCAGTCCCAATAGGGAAACTATCCTAACGTTTTGCAGCATGTTTGCCAATATCTAACGTCTTCTTCGGACACTGAAACGACTGATGTAACTTCAATGCAGGTGGAATATTATCATGGCTACTCAGCCGTTGCGTGGTTAATGAAAACGCTATTGTACAGAAGGCGAGTCTAACAGTCATCGATAAGAATCGCGCAGCTATAACTGATCTCCATCATTCCTTTACTGACGCTCGTCACAGTGGACAACGTTCGACGAAAAGCGCGTGTATATATCGGGAAATGACGTGCCTCGATTCGATGAAGGGGACGAGCCGTGTGACGCGACTTCCCACTGTCCAACAGGTCCAGAGGGAGCGGTGTTAGGCCGGCGAGTGGACTGACGGGAAGCGCTGCATGTATGCAACGGTTGTGAGATTCATCTTCTCCACACAACCGCACAAAATCCTTCAGGGAAGTTACGAGCGTAACGTTCATATATTATTATAAAACGATTATAAAAGGCTGTATGTTGCGGCAGTAAACCAGCACGTCAGTTGGTGGTGTTTCGGATATTTTAAAGGCTAACATGTTCCGGAAATCGGGATTGTGTGTCCTTTGGTGTTACGCGCTCGTCAGTTGTTTTGGTAAGCATCAGCTTGTTAACGGTACAGTGTCCGCGGCTTTTTCGGCCGCTTTTTCTCGATGAGAATAATTTGCTGATTTCTGGTCTAGACGTAGAAAATTTAAGAAATCTGAGCGACCCAAAAAACTCCAACCAATAACGATCAAATGCAAATTATAGTAGTCAAGCTCAGACCCTTTCAGCGCGGCCAGAACTTATCACAGTGCGCACTAGAAAAATCTATGCGTTCTAATTTGTCGATTGCAGCGTCAACAGAAGATTGTTTATCAAACTAGGCGGAGCGATCTCGGATGATGATTACGGCCCTGGAAGCGATGATACCGTCTTGTCGGCGACCGGCGATATGGAGTTTGTGGACGTGGGCCCAGCCGTCCCCATGTCAACGGACGGAGCAGCAGCCGATTATCCCGATACACCGGCGCCGGCCGTCTTCGGCAGTGGTGCTCCTGCCCCCGATTATCCCGAGCCTGCGCCCTCTCCCGGAAACACGCAGCTGCAGGCTGGCGCGTCGGATGATTATCCAGATGTGACGCAGAGTGCCGTGAAAGCGGGCGGTGACTATGACACGCCAGTTAAGGCCCCGGATCAGTACGGCGACGAAGTCGATGTTGTGGACGACTCCAAGAACAAGAACGTTGTGAAAATTATAAGTATGCGCCGAGCTTATTGCGAACACGTGGCATCTGGCAATGTAGGACAGTAAGGCGTTTCCTGTATTTTGGTGTATGTCGTCAACCATGCAATTACGCCCATACCATCGAATACGCCGAGTGCCGCTGCTGGCAGCGTGGTCCGAATCCGATGGAAATACCGTACTGTTCTACTTGCTGCCGTTATTCGGTTTAAGACGTGGACTGCTTCGTGTTGTGACGGTATGAATGATTGCAGATGGCATCGTGGTGCCGGAGAATGAATTCAACTTCATCGTCAGTCTGCGCAAAGACGGTCATCATAACTGCGGTGGCTACGTGCTTCTTGATCGCAAGTCCATCATCACCGCCGCGCACTGCGTGCACCGACAGTAAAAAAATCTAGTTACGATAGAGCACCAACTCGGGTGTGGCTACGCAGACCGTATCGGTGGGCGTGGCTACTGTGTCTAGTCGCCTCGTGCGGTTATTATAATACCAACGCTAGATCCGCTTTGAATTTGAGACCCGCCCTAAGAGCCGACGCTCTGCAGTGGTGCACCCATACCGGCATCCAAACTCGCATGACGTAAATTTGTAATACCTTTCCAAATTTCACAAAACTATCAGTATGGTTCCTTACTGTGTTGTGTTAGCTTGTTCACTAATCGTGTGCCGGCGTTTGTCTAAAGACTAACGCGACGCTTTTCAGTGGAGTAATCTACCCGGCTTCGATACTCAGCGTCGCCGTGGGCACGCATAAACTGTCGGCCGTCACCGCGGCCAACATCATCCAGGTCAGCCAGGTCTTCGTCCATCCGCAGTGGAGCGAGAACGCGATCCTCAACGACATTGCCGTCCTGCGTCTGGCTGGCAGCATCAGCAGCACCCTCCGAGTCACCACCGTCAAACTGCCGCCGGTCGACCGCGAACCAGATGTCGGGCGGCCGCTGGAGACCGCCGGCTGGGGCCGCATCACGCCGGGCCCCAATGAGCGCGCCTCCTCCGACGTCCTGCTGAAGGCCACACTGAAGCTCGTCGACCGCACCGTCTGCTCGCAAAAGCTGAGCCGGCCATCCCGCAATCCCATTCCCGCCAGTCAGATCTGTACGGAGAACGATCAAGCGGGCACCTGCCAGGTATGTTATCAGTCCTGGATGGCCGTATGGCGCGGCAGTCAATGGTATGTGATTACTTTGCTGTGCACAGGGTGATAGTGGTGGACCCCTTATCAACCGCCTACCGGGAGGAGACTATTTGGTTGGACTGACCAGCTATGGACCTGAAGGGTAAGACAAGGATCGTGTAAAGGACCGGGTAACACGGATCTAATTAGGCCACTTCAGTATTAATTGTAATCAAAATGAGGCGACATGGTACAAGCTATCAAATGTTTGCATCTCCACGAGAATTAATAGTTTACGACATTTCATAGCCAAATGATTTATGTACTTTGACGTGTTTCGCATTCCAGACATTTTCGCAGTAGGGAACCGCATACCGGACACCCTAGAGACACGATATTCTCTGCGTTGTTGCACATAACAAAAACTTTCTAAAAGCTGAATACGTGGTAATTACTAATTTTATTCAAACTCGTACACGAGATTAGTAAAACATTGTAAAGTTTTCTATGTAGGTAGACCAGCAAAGACGATACCGTGTCACTGTGTCCAATACGCGGCTCCACATTGTGAAAATGTCCGGAATGCGAAACCCGGCAGAGCGCTTTATACAGAGTATGGGCGTGAAATCCTTTATACAGAGTATGGGCGCAACATCGGGTTGCGGAGTTGCGCGTAAGACAAAAGAGTTCCTAAAAGTTTAAATGCATTCATGTGTACCAAAAGTCTCTTCGAGAACTGATCTCGAATCTTGTCCACTGGCACACATTTGTACGGAGATCGCTCGAACACCGATCCAAAGTTTCAAAAGTTTTCTATTTTCTATATCGTCAAAATGCATTTGAAACTTCTTCTGAAGTTTATTTTGAACCGTTGGACCCATACCGACACACCAGTAAATATCGTCCAAGTTAAAAAATCTAGCAAATATTTTGCAGATGCATTCTCCGCACAGCGGACGCCTTCACCAAGGTCAGCCACTTCATCGACTGGATCAACAACCCGGCCAACGGACCAGCCCAGCGCCCCCCGCCGCTCCGGTACCCGCACCCGGGGGTGGTGTCCCCGGAATCCCGGGACCCCCACCCAGCGGGGGCAACCCTGGCGGATTCCCGGGTTCCCCAGCCCCAGGGACTCCTGACTGTGGTGGCGGTTGTACCGTGGGATGCGGTCCTGGCGGACTCGCCGTGGTCGTCGTGCTGCCGAATGCGCCGACCGGCAGCTGCCAGCGGATGCCGGGCCGGGGACTGGGGCTGATGTGCAGCGGTCGCGGAACACCGTCGGGCGGTGCCCGCTGCCACTTTACGGGGCACGGTATCCGCTGTGTCCGCAGCGGATTCCTGGGACTGTATTCCAGCGGTGACGAGGCGCCGTGTTTTAACTACGAAGGCCGCCGGTATTGCCCTCGGAGCGCGCTGCCGGCGTCGACTGCTGCATCGACTACCGACTATGATTAACTGATTCAGTCCGTACAGCGCACATATCTGTGAAATTCTGGTTTTGTTACAGGATGTGCTTTCCATCGGAATTATGTTTTCTACAGTTACCAGCCCAACGCTTTTCTTCTTTATTCTTTACATTCGTGATGTTTTGAGTTTTTGACCGTTTCGAAGCATTATGAAACATCAGAACGTTCTGTTGAACCATACCGGTATGATAATTAAGGAAGTAATAAAACTCAGCGTCTTACCTTGAGTAAATCAACAGTAAATTCTCTTTAAGTCTTCTAACCCAGTGTGTAAATTGGCAACATCCGATCATCTGTGACACTTTCGTTTAAACCTTCGCCGAACACCGAACCGTTTTGAAGCATTACTCCGTTGAATGATCGATAACAACTTGGTGTGAAACTGCACAACATTAAAATCACTAAACCGTAACTCAGTCAGTAAAAAAACGTCGGCTTCTTAAGGATGTTGTAATCATCACCAGTGCCGACAGTTGCCTACGTTGGTACAGTATCTAAAACCTCCACATTAGTTCACGATTAATCGCATTCGGTTGTGAAACATTGTACAGTTACGTTTTTCTTCATCCACCGATAAATTGTTTTGTTAATATTGTGTTACAGAAATGGACCGAACGATTTTGGTTGTGATGTGTACGCTGGCATACAATCGGAAGGTGACCTTTGAGGACATTCATTTTTCCTGCCGTATTTATCGATAATTATTTGGTTTTTTTCTGGTTCATGGTTTTGAGCGATCGGGATTGTACAGTTTCTATCAATATCCGGATATCGGACCTTCCTGCCCTTGTCCGGCAAATTCCCTTTTCTACCTGCAATCCATTCGACGTATTCCAAGGGGGATAATGTTTTTATTGGATAAATAACCATGTAACCATCTGGAGAAACAAGAATTAAATGGTTCAATGAAGAACTTGGAAACGAAAAGTAGAATAGCTACATACTCTCGTGCCACTATTGCACTTTAGCCATGGATCTTTTTACAGCACGTTCATTAACTTGCTACTTCCTCTTTGTGTTGTTTCTGACAATCAAGTTAAAAGTATCAATTACAAAAATTGTACAAGTACTCATCATCGCTGTGATGAGAGAAAATTTAGTGGATCCAGAGATTCAAGCATTTGATTTCTTTCACATGGCACCAAAATACCGCTTACTCGCTCGCAATTTTGCTTTCTCGGTTTTACCTAATACAAATTCCATGTTCTTTTCATCAACAAAAATAACAGTTTAAGGCCAGTTATGCGCGCCCATGCCACCAACAAACTCCATATTAGACAGACAGCAAGAACGTTTTCAAGAAATTTTCACTTTTTCCGTCTGGAAGTTGAGCAGCTTTGTGTTCTTCCACCACGTCCTCTTGCGGTATACCGTTTTCTAGAATTACGGTAGTGAAAAGATAGTAGTGATTTGCGAAACTAGTGAAACTGCAAACCAGAAAGCGCAATCCGCCACGCGTTTGCCTTTCGAAACACTTATGATGCAGGGCAAGCTGTCTGCCAAACCAGCAGTTGAGCGCATCTCCACTGGTGTTGGGTTTCATCCATTTTGCGTGCATGGTGATAGCTGCGCCCAAGCTGGAAATCAAACGTCGCGACACGATCCGGACTTATTTCGGCATAAAAATGCGGTCACACCCAACAGTGTTAGTAAGCGCTACGTAGGGTGGCAATAAATCCCGACAAAAACAATCGGTCATCGAGCTAGAACGTACCGCGCGTTAGTGCCGCCCACCAACAGAAGCTGGTCGCCCAAACCCATGCGTACAACATTCTCCCTTTATCGTGTAAAAAATGTAATGACCGGACTGCGTAGTCAGCAGAACGTAACCATCACGGTAAATACATATGGTGTGCACGGCATATGTGCAGAATCAAGAATGATATGATCTGTTTTGTCACTGTATTCAGCAGACTGACAAATGACAATAAGCATCGCCGTTTTAATTTCTGTACTAACCACGGAACTGGCGGTATATGTTACGTAAGTTCTAACTGGCAACAGGTGCATCTGGATTGCGAACAAGGAAATTCGATAAGAAGGCGGTTCACTTCACGGCCAGCTATGAATCAGAGACTGGTGGAAGCCTTCTGTCGTCAATCACGTCCAGATTACATCGCTTCGCGGAACACTGATTGCCATCAACGGCACCACATCGATACTGTAAGCGGAAAACTCTGGCTGTTTCCGGCATGTAATGTTCTAGTAAATGGAAATCGGCAATATACAGTAGCCACTAAGCAAGCAAACCGTACATGGCGACAATCCTTTATGTCCTTGAAAAATTAAGGGATTTAAAAATAAGATGGAGCACTGTCCTGCGAAATTCGCGTCTTCGGTTCGCCTTGATATTGGTCTGTGTGATTAATAACCAGCTTCGTCTAGAAGATGATAGCTACAAAACTGCAAAACATACCGACTTTTGTGCATGAATTTGTATCTGCTTTTTGAATAATGCTGTTATATGATCAATTTTGACATCTGCCGTCATGTCCTGTCTGAATCTGTTCCCGGTGCTACGTGCTAACGTCAGCCTCCACCGACTGGAGCGCCGTTCTTTCCCTCTCGGTGTGACACCAGCGGCTGCGTGCCGGAATGACCGTACTGTAACTGTTATTTCAGTTTCCGGCTTTCATAGCAGCAAGCTCACGTCTCTTTCTTGACCGAAATTAACTACTCTAATAAGGATTAAAAAATCCAGAGCAGATTGCAGTTGTGCTAGAACATGTTTTTATGCACCCTAACAGCCTGGTAACTGATACGGGATTGATACGACAAAATAATTAAATGAAGCGATCATTCAAGTGCATTGCCCCTATGCGCCGAATATCTGCGCCTTGTGGAAGGTCAACTAGAGTTATACATCAACTGTAATTAGACAAATTTTGTATTTATTGATTTTATCGCGGTAGCAGGAACCTGCGAACAAAGTCCGATTCCTTCGTGCGCTTTAATCATGCCCCAGCACATCACAAACTCTTTAAGAAAATCCACTAGAGAACGCGCATTACACTGACTCGTTAGTGATGTAAGCAACAGTGGCAAAATGAATATCAGCAAAGGCTGAAGAGTAACACAGCCGGGCGAGATCCGCCATGTCCGGCTCTTCGTGGGGTTAAAAGTCGTTCATCTACCGCTGCATTTTCGCCGGCTGCCCACAATCACCCAGACATTTTCCTTGTGGAAAGGGTTTCTGCGGAGTGTCGGCCGCTTCCACAGCGCCGTTGATCCAGTCATCAAAGTGGCGTACATCCGTCAGCACCACGGGACCGGAAACCGGACAACTGCCATAAACGGTACTTACTATTAGCGTGCATTAATTTTGTCCAAGGTCATAAGTAGTGTTAAACTAGTCTTACCCTCGAATGGCGTGGCTGACTAAGGCGATCAGCTTTGGTTTCGACTGAATTACGTCGACTAATGGGCCGCCGACATCATCCATTCTATTATTCGACCGAGTGCGTAATATTAATACGAGACTACCAGTACTAACGAAATTAACCGCTATATAGGTAAACATCAGTTCAGTATAGTGATTGGATTATGACACTATGTAATGGTAATACCAAAATATTATAAACGAAAAATCGATAAACATACATTCAATAAATAGGCAAGTATTTTTATCAATAGTAATACCAACATACCTACGTATGTGTTAAATCTGTAAATTTCTGTATAAAGAAAATAGAAATTTTGAAATGTTAATCGAGACTTTGATATCAAAAACCGAGTAAGGGGTTTTGGAAGCTAAACTAGCCGAGGAGCTCAAAAGCCTTACCTTGCAGACGGTGAGGTTGTGGCTGACCGCGCAAAGTTTCCCGGTACCGTTACCGAAACCCTCGGCGCTGCTGCATTCCTCCGGTTTAGCCAGGCGCAGCTGGGTTTTGTACAGCTGGTACGGCATACTGGGCATCGGGTAGTGTTGGGGCCCGGTGATGCGCCACCCCACAGCGGTCACCAAATGCCCAACCGCCGCTTGACGACCGGCCCCCAGGGACCGCGGGGTACCGGGTAGGGACCCGGTGGTGGCGTTGGTCAGTTTGATAACGGCGATATTGTTGTCGTAATCATGGAAATCGGCGTGGTAGATGACGCGTTGGATGCCGACGGTGTTGGCAGGGAAGACTTCCGGTTGGTATAAGATACCCGTCGTCGCGGTGAGTTGATCGCTCCATTTTTCAGTGTATCTTAAACCAGAAAAAAAGTGCCGGTGTGGTGAAAAAAAGTACGGTGTGCCGGCATTTTAAAAAAAACAAACTGAAATGTATTTGGAGAAACCCAGCGTGACAATTTAAAAGTGGAAATTGGCCAGTCTGTTTGCGGCTAAGAGGTTTTATAATAAAATCCACAAACAGTGTGAACCGGGAACAAACCAAATACCGTAATTATCGAATTACAAGCTCCCCCCGAAATAGAAGCTCCCCCCGTAATTAGAGCCCACCCTTAAGGTCATTTGAAAGTTATAAGCTCCCCCCGAAATACAAGCCCATGGGCTTAACTAAATGCTACGTAGCCCATATTAGCCAATGCCAAAAAAGTTAGTCTGAAAAATTGAAGCCCCCTCCGAAATACAAGCCCATGCCCGTAATTGGAGCCCACCCCGTGAGGCGTTTGAAATATTTGTAACCCTGGGGCTCTAATTCGATAATTACGGTATGTACGATAAAATCGTATAAATCGCCAGCATTGGGTTCGAACTGTGAAGCGTCTCTTCTTCGTGATATGCGCGCACCGAAGCATGTGCTTTTTTAGTCGTAAATTACACTGTACCGGATGAAGCAACTGGCGGCGGTCAAGACATGCGTCGGCGTCAGCAGGATACCGCCGCAGAAATGCCCGTAGTCCCCGCGCAGGCTGACCATAAACGGAAACTCTCCGGGCTTCACCATGACGTCCTCGGGTTCTGTTTGGGAAAAACCGTACCAATAGAAGCGCTTCAGTACATGTACATATTCAGCAGACGACTGGTGTTTCACGGTTGAGGGATTGGGGATAGTGGGTGGCGTTGTTGGGAGCGGTAGCGGTGGTTGACCGGTAAATGGAACCGGTGTCCCGGTTTTCTGATGGGGAAGGATGCTGTAGATATCAGAAGGCTGCCGGTACTGGTTACCGTAGACGACGCAGCTGTTGACTCAAAAGTAATAAAGCCAGTTGAACTAAATGATTTGTCACGGTTTTTTTCTTGGTGCTGGGGTACTTTGTAGCGCACCAAGAAATAGCAGGACCACGGAGGACATGATCGCACAATCTCGCGTTATTTTGATGGAAAAACGAGAGATTTCGTATGTCTTTGCAAATAGTAAGAATCGCTAAATGCTGTGCAAGTATTAAAACGGCTCCACCATAATGGTTTAAAAAGGCAGCTTCATCGATGAGTGCGCGTCTTTTAACTACCGATAAGAATCGCGCGGCTTGCTGATTCCCATCAACCGCTAGGAAAATGCGTCACATGGAAAATGTTTAGCTGTCAATGTGCGTTTCGCTACGACCGAATGCTGACTGCAGCGTCGGTGTAACGGACTTCCCGGCCGGAGTATCCACAGTCCAGAAGATCGATGGGATCGTTAATGATTCTCGCAGTTAAATGATGCGCGCCTAACACGGACTAGGGATGGACTGTTGGTTTCTCCGGGTCCAGCAATCATTGCATGAAACTGACATAGCGCTCGTAGCGTAATATGTAATGCAACGGTGCGGCAATATCAATGAAATTTTATTTGCCTTTCTCTATTTTCTCTTGAATAGTTTGGCGAACAGTTTGGTGGTTTCTGAATCAAATAAAAAAGCCGCAAAAGCCCGTGTGCATTCTGTTGTGCTGGATGTTCCTCGGCTGATTTGGTAAGTGTGAACAGCGTAACCGATATTAATTTTGCTTTAGGAAATACTGTTTAGGTATGTCTATACAGTCATTTACGCAGCTACGCTTGTACAAACACTAGAGTAGTAAGTTGTATCCGCAAAGAAAACTAATCCACTAACCTGAATATACTATATAGTAATTGCGCATAGGCGCATCAGGGACTTACTTACACCGAATTCAGTGTGGACTTACATACAAAGTATACAAAACCGCGCCCGTATTCACGGCTTGTGTGTAAGTGTGTACGTGTACAACCACACCGTGTGCGCATAGCATGGTCACTTAAATACAGAATGCACAGCAACCGGAAGTACAGTACGAAATACTCGTACTTTCAAACTTTCGATACGAGTATTTATTAATTCCAGTACTTGCACGGTGTACTTACTGATTCAAAGTATTTTATTATTTATGCTGTACACAGTAATCAATGCGATGTCAACACAGTAAGTTTACGCTACATGACCTAAACTGCTACAATAAACCCTTCCACGGTTGACAACTATATTAACACTGACCCAACAAGGCCGTATTGTTTAAAGCCTGCATAGCCTTAAGATCCAAATTTCCTACATACCAGACGCGCATTATCCAGCATTATCGTTAGCAGTGCTGAAGAAGGACAAGCACACAGCGCAGTTACATATCAAAGCTGCCAGCTAGGTAGCCAGCAAGCAGGGTTCCCTGCAGTGCGATGGTAGGAATGAATAACAAGAACACTACCAATTTCTGAAGAAAGCCCAGATGCATATTTGGACACCACTGGGCCTTTCTTCGTCCATTCGCAATACGCTTGTCAGAATCATAAACAGTTTTAAGGATAATTTGACAACAAGTCAGGAGAGAAACTCAAAGAATCGGATAGCAGGAACCACACGGTATGATTATCCAATTACAACTGGATTCCCAGAACACAGGCATCCCTGCAGCATGAACCGACAACAGCGCCATACAAAATAAGACTATTTTATTTTTCCCAAGTGGTGATTTTGGTCCATAAAACTAAAGCAACCAAGTTAGAAAATGGAAACCGGTGATTACTGTAAACTGCGTTAAGTCCTACGCTATCTTAAATTGCCGGTGCCCATCGGAGGTGGGAGCCCGAGTCCATGGGATCCCTCCATTCCCACCCATTGGGAGCCCGAGTCCTTCACCCACAGGAGGCTGCGGTCCGTCCATCGTGGTCGCCTTGGCGGTCGTCATCAATGCGCCTACCGGCAACTGTCGGATGACGTTCGGCAGCGGACTAACGTGCAATGGACGTCTCCCGGCGGGACGCGCTGCCGTGTCTTCGGCCGCAGTATTTTCTGTAGCCGCAGCGGATTCAGATCAACGTATTCCACCGGTGCCGAGGCACTGTGTTTTAATTATGGAGGCCGACGGTACTGTTTCAAGAGCGCCCTACCGGTAGCAACTACTACTACACCGAGCCCTGACTACGGATAACATGATAAGCGATACTTTTTGTGTCTCACATTTCCGTCACTGCTAGTATACGGTTTCTTATTTTGGTCTGCGGTCGCTACATAAATAACTGCTGATCACACATCTTTTTTTATTTGCTTTTCAGCTGTCTGTAATCATAAAAAAAATATCGTAGTTTGAAATTCCCTAAATCTACAAACGTGGAAGAGCGGTTCTTTTACATGGCACCAGGTCCAGTTCCTTACTATTATGTACGGTACTTGGCATTCACAACATTCCTCTCATTATATTTGGTTCCACAAATGACGAAGACAACGAAAACTCCAAAGTCCTGTCCATAAGCGTTGCAGCTTTCAGACAGGCTTGTGGGGTTTCCATCGCCATCATGTTTTTGCTGAATGTACAGATAATTACATGGTCAAATGGATGCGGTTATATCAGGTAATCAAGACCTTTGGACTATACAAAGTTGCGCTGGAATTAGCGATGCTTCCGATGAGCAGAGAAAATTATTATTATTATCCGCAAGAATGGCCGATTGGCTTCCAGTGCCTGAATGCAGTTGCCGCTGTGGCCAAGGCCATATCATTGCACGTGTAATATGATGGCATCGGTAACAGTGGCTGCCGTAATCCGTATTCGTCGGCATTTGCAAAATGTACACTTCCGTAGTCACTCAGATCCACCAGGGTTTCCAGTGTTTGAGACGATTTAAAACAAAAAATTAAACTTCCAACATGTTATTTAAATTATAAACAAAATCATTATTTAAACATATTCAAAGTAAAGTAAAATGTACTGATAAAATCGTCGATTTAGTATGTACAATAGAATAACAGAAACAGAACAGAAACAACTATAGTTTGTTGATATAACAGAAACAACAACAGTTTGTTGATATAACAGAAACAACTATTCGGAAAATAATTCAAAAAGCTACTTTTTCGCACATCGATTTTTTCTTAAATCAAGCATGGCCAAAACGGTACAAAAGTGTTTGAGTCTCGATCCCGTTCACACACATTAATGTTGTTGCAACATAGCGCTAGATGATCAACAGATAATCATGAATGTAAAGTTATGCGCTTACAATTAGCACATACCCAACATGGTACAGAGTATTGTGCGCGAAATCGGCCACCTTTGTCTGCGCTCGGTACTCAGGCATTCCCGATATATTGCAGTAAGATTGGTATGCTGTGGATCTTTTTCGCATGGTACTCTCACGATGTGGATGTTCTCGCAGATCTTTAGAGTATCGCTGGCCTACACCTTTGGTCAAAACTGAATATATTCTATTCCAATTTCCGACCAAAGGTGAAGGTAGGCCAGCCTACCGGTAGGCTGCGGTTATTGTTAACGTAGCGTTCGCGATGTAAAATAAGGCGTTCGTATGGGCGATATTGTCAGTTTTCTTGTAGAACATCGCATAATTGCTTCACGGATCCGCCGTTGAACATAAAAATCGAAGCAGGTTCTCGTGAATTTCCCCATCGCAACCTGGTAAGAAACATGCCAGAACGCTTTCGATGGAATATGGGCAAATAATCGGACTGTAAGTTGATAGGATCGTATTCAGCAGCAGCTTTATGAAACGTAGCAGCAAACGCGTTATATACAGATACATAGTTCAGATAGCTTTCTCTGTTCATCTTTTAGCATGATTATTTCGTGACTGCGAAGAGTGCGTGTAACTTAAGTGCTCGCTTAAAGATCATTCAAATAATACAGAGTGTATCTTCGTGTGATTGCTGAACTTAAGTACAGTACAGTTAGTACAGTAGCGTGTCTAACAGGCGGGATCGTTATCGAGAATGCAAACAAGTCTGATATCTTGATGGTTAACTCATGCAAAAACAATTTCATAGCTGCACGTATTGCATGTAACATACCATTAATTATCGGATTTCTGTGCAGTTGGTTACGTATTGTGAGACTCACTACTGATAATGCTTATAGTTTTTGCTCTGTGGAAGTGCGCATTTTACGAAGAAGTTATAAACGTATTCGGTTGCACTCGGATGTGGACCATGTGGGTCTTCCGAGTCTGAATCGAAATCTTGTCTTTCGCGTTCCAGTGGCGCGAAACGAATTAAGGCGGGCAGAGGCTGTAAGATTAACTAACAATAATATTATTTGCCGTTAACTACTGTTATTTATTACTGTCTTGGATGCACTCGGACTGTTCAACTGTTCAAGCTATCTGTTATTCAGTTTAACCGTGCCAACCTGGCCACCACTAGAACATGTCCATTTTCGAGCTTTTTATTTTCAAAGAAGTGATCGGGGTGTAAGTGACAGTATTAAATTTGTAAAATATTAATTGCGCTACTCCGGAATGCCAAAACCAGATTAATTTTACGATGACAGTTTAAGGTGAATTACTTTCAAATAAATGTAATGTAAACTAACGAGGACGATTCAGTAATATGGCATCATCTGGTAACGAAAGTAACAACTCTGATAAATGCTCCGCATAGTGGCGGCTCCAGCGCCGTTGTTCTGGCTCAACGACGTCCACCACTTGGTGAACAAACTTTCACTCCAGAGGACATACAGGATGCCGTTCGCAGTCTCATGGTGAAATTGGCATCCGCTCGAGAGGATTTCGAAAGCAACAATTTCATGCCAACTCCGTACAACATGAGCGAAGAAATGTTGGAAGATCACGTTGCCATCAAATGCATCGACAAATGCACAATCAACGAAGAATCCATAAAAACTGAGATCAACATTTTGCGACAGTACGCGGATAGCTCTGCTGAAACACCAAAGACCTACAAGCCGTTACTGTACTTCCGTTGGTGTATCCACTGTATTGGGGCATGCTACGTAAAGTCTGAAATCATTACTGTAGTCTTTCGTTAATATTTAAGGCATGCACTGTATTCTCAGCAATTATAGCAATTATTCTCTACCTTTAAGCGAGATGTGCGGAAAGCGCATTTGTGTACTGTGCCATATCGATACAACATAAATGCAGTTAGGCTTCCATTTGTACTGCAATTTTTCCCGCATTTGTGCACTATGCTGTTTCTGAACTTCCAGGTTAAACCATCCAAACATTGTTAAGCTGCTGGATACGTGTGAGGATGCCAATCATCCCAAGCATGTGTACCTGGTAATGGAGCTGTAAGTCGAATACCTTCGCCGTGATGCTCAGTGCTTCGCCACTATACTTCGACAAATGTCTTATCTGGGCTCCCTATAGAGTACAGGCGCATATCTGGGCTCACTTCTAGTTGAAACGACTGCAAAACTGCAAGTACTAATGTAAGCGCGCGCAAGGTCGGTTGCGCACACTTCCGGCAGTATTGAAAGTACGGGCAACCGTTTTCATGCGCGGTTACATCAATACTTGCAGCTTTGCAGCTGTTTAAACTAGAAGGGAGACCAGATGAGGGAGAGTAAGCTACATTGGTCGAACTGTCGAAGTATATGTATATATACAGCTTGCAATTTTGTGTACGTTGTCCCAGAAAAACAGAACAATATGTGCATCATATTATAACAAACATTATAACAGGATTTCAATATGGCTTTTTCGCGTATTAAAACTTACAACCACTTCCGTAATGTGTTGCTTTTAAGACTAATCATATATGCGCTTGTAGAGAACTCCATTCTGAATTTCTGGATGCCCGGTGGTCCACTTTTTGACCGTATTGAGGAGAATGGTAGCTACGATGAGAATGAGGCCAGCTGTATAATCGAACAAATCCTCCACGCCGTTAATTTCATGCATCAACAGCAGGTGACAAGTAACAACCACAGCTGTTTTTTTGGCGCGTACGCTAAGTACGCTTCCTGTTCACACTGCACATTGCACAGTCATACTTATTGGCTATATCTATACATGCATTATGCATACATTACAATTGAACCTTGTTTTTATGTGTAGCAGATTGTCCATCGGGATTTAAAAGTAAGCTAAATGTGCATGGAGACGCTAGTGAATATTTGACCATTGGTACGGACTGCAGCATGTTACATGACCTTATGCAGCCGGAAAACATACTTTTCTTCAACTCTGGCGACAATTCCGCAGTATCGGTTAGCGATTTTGGCCTGTCGAAAATGGAAGAGGACTGTCGGATTTTGTCTAAGCCTTGTGGAACTCCTGGATACATTGGTAAGCTTATGTTTTTACTGGAAGGGCTAAACGCTTCTGCCACTGCTTTGATTGCCGGTTATTGCTTCTGCATTAAACTGGGCGGCTTTGCAGCGCCGGAGATAATTGCACTGCAACCGCATGGGAAACCGGTTGATTTGTGGAGTATAGGCGTAATTTCTTATTATCTGTTGTGCGGACATCTTCCGTTCGATGCAGAGGTATTCAGAATTATAATTATACAGATAATTTTATTTTATGCGTTATTGTCACATATGACATTATTGACACAGCTTATGCAGACGGCGATAAAGAAAAAAAAATTTTTTTTTGTTGTGCACAACAACCATTTAATTTAAAGGGTTGCTCATACAGGATGTTGACGATTTACTCGTGAAAAATGCAGTAGGGGAATATGAATTTGATTCTCCTGACTGGGATGATATATCAGAAGCAGCAATGGATTTTATCCAGCATTTACTGTGCGTGGATCCCACCGAAAGAATGACCTGTGAGGAAGCGCTATCCCATCCTTGGATTACTGACAGTGAATCCGACTCGACGAAAAGTGACGACAGCGGCGAAAACGGCAGCAGCAGTAGTAATGGCAGCGTTAACAACGATGGCAGCGATGAAAGTAATCGGGATCTAAAAGCCGTAAATAACCTCTGCAAGGTGCAATAATTATCGAATAAACATCCGATGTGCTACTAGTGCATACATACAGATCTGTACATACAGAGTTCTAACTGTAACTTTGATGTCTGAATGTCGCTTTAAGCAGATCAGCAATATTCACTGCTGTCACTCTGCTCAAAACAGAAGCACCCATCGATGGCTTCGCTAACACCAGCTAGAAATAAAGTCTGTCAGTTTATTCACTTCCGCCACTTCTTATCCAAACAACTTACTGTGGCGTAATTATCTGTAAATACCGAAAATAGTGTGACTGCGCTTGCTTCCCTGGTAGTCCTTTTTTCTGGCTTCTCCCAGGTCCCAACTAGAGCGAAATTCTCGAGAATATACTATAGCCTGAATAATTTAATTACTGCTGTCTCTCACTTTTTCCATGCCAATTCCGCAACTGAAGATTATCAACAGAAATTACAAAGCCAGTCGGCTTCATCACGAACATTGCTTCGTTCAAGGCTCAGTATTTAGTGTAAATGTTTAACGGCGCAATAAATACCTACAACAAACAGCCTCGGCTTCGCCTGCGCGTTTCTTGTGGTCAACGGCCACTTTATTTAGTTCTCAATGAATATTTATTGAAATAACATATTTCGGTCGAAGCATAATCGGTACATCGCATTAGCGCAAAAAACGGATTTTATATGAAAACACGGATTGATTTTTATACGAGTATGTTTTTTTAATCAGTTCTTTTTTAATTATTCTCTCAAATCACCATAGATTCTCACAACTGAATTTATGATTCTGTGAATCTTAACCAATTTATTATTACAAGAATTTAGTTGCATTTGGTGAATGTAATGAAAACTCTTCCGCTTTGGCGTTCGAAGCGGGAGAGGTTTTGAAAGAAATCAATACTATCTGGCCGGGTTTTCGACTACGGGCTTTCCGAATATAATATTAGTTTGGGTCAGTCTTTTCTGGTTTGCCGGCTCTGGTGTATCCCATTCGTGGCAATATAGATCTGAATGAGGATATGTGTACCGGCTGTTGCCGAATAAAAACAGGACTTAAGCAAAGGCAGTGTGGTACTTTGTATAACAGCAGTAAGATTGATGTTATATCGCCAGCGCACGTTGCGCACGTCGCCATTTTGCTGACCATCGGCTATTTTCAGGATGCTACGCTATGATACTGTGACTTGAACCGCAAGAAATTTCTGCCTGCTAAGAGATGCCTGCTAAGATACTTAATCTTACCGTCTGTCTCAATGAAACCGAGGAAGAGGCCGAGGCGCTGAGAGAGGATTATAACCGAAGCCTAAGCGGGTTGTTTCCATTAAAAGCAGCGACATAATTTGTAGAAAAGCCGATATACGAAGGTGACTGACATGGAATCAGAGTTATCTGTTATGTTTGCGTTTACTCATAACGATATTGTCCTTTACGGGGACAGAAATGGCACGCGGTGGATATGTGCAAAATAGTACGGGTGCAGCCGAAGTGATAACGATATGACGAAGAAAGAACAAGATACTTGCCGAAGAAAGGAGTGCTGTCCTAATCCAGACAACTGGACTTTCTCACCCGAATTTGTTGTAGTGAGTGTGGTTTATATGCGTGCTGTAATACCACCACATTAACAACTACAGTATATGGATCGTACGTAAATGCACGGATCCAAAGCATTCTCTTTCCCTCTAAGACTGTGAATTAGCCACACCCTTTGTTTTTGCCAACGTCTGAAAGGTTTCCAAAAGCCAGCTTCGAAAAATCCGTTCCATCGGCTCCATATACCATACGATCCAAGTATCCAACATCCCAGCTTCCGGGCAGTGTGACCAACTGCCCTAGTGCGCGGTTACCTTCTCATTTGTAGTTTTGTTTTGTTTAAATTTTGAATTTTTCAAAATGATTACTGTAGCGGCTCGATCAAGTGACACCACAGAGTTGGTGTACGAGAAAACAGCACACATGCAGCGTGTGCAGGCTTATGCGCTTTGCAAGCACGAGCAGTGCACACATTGCAAGGGCTGATTTCCCATATACAGACTCTTTGGTGCCACTTGAACGAGCCGCTACAGTACAAGTACTTCGAAATACTTTTTTATCTGGATTTGTGGGGGAGAGGGTCTGTGGAATGGTTTGCGGACGTGGTACTCTGTTGAAAATTGTGATGTTGGAACTTGGAACATGGAGAAGAATACTACCCTGCAACTTCTCTACGGCTCTGTGAAGACACTGGCGTTCGTATGAACAAACCATGCGATGAATGAAAAAAAAAACAGGAATGGAAAATGTTCTTGTGTACTGTATATCGAATACGAGCAAAAGTTTGATTGTGATATGGAAAACAATAAGCAGTGCCTCCGATTCCAAATGCGCGGAACCTGATGCCATACAGTATATACGTCTGTTTTGCGTATGTAGGTATATGTATGTACGTAAGTATACTCGAATTCTGGATGAAACAGCACTACAGAGTCTGCTGTACGAAAAGTGACGCGCAATGTTGGCTGAAAAACGCGGAAAATGGCTGGTTTCGTTTGCGGCCCGAAACTTTGCTCAGTATATCAGTAAACACCGCGCATCAACCGCGTTCAAACAGGGACGCGGATGTTTGGGCAGGAGGCGTCGACGAGAAGCATCTACCATTTTATTTGAAAATTATTTTAGACCGTACTCTGTAAAGCAGCGGGCGGCGGTCAAGAACATGTGTCGGCGTGAGAAGGATCCCGCCGCAAAAATGCCCGTAATCCTCGCTGAGACAGACCATGAACGGTTTCACCGCGTAATCTGCGGGTTCTGTGTGCAAAGATAGCGTATCAATTAACGGTGTTGTGGAAATTTCTAATGGTACTTGACTAACCTTTAACGGAGGGGGCGCCGGTGGCTGCTGGTGGCCGAGAGGGCGGTGGCGCGGTGACCGGTGGTGCGACAGCAGGTGGTCCGGTTGCCTAGTTGGGAATAAGAGGCTTGGCGAGTATTGGCCCAAATGCTATTTTATTTCACCACTGGCTTGTTATGGCCCAAAAGGCATCGGGGAGTCTTTAGATGGTCAAAAAGTGTCATTAAGTCATTAATGACATTACTAATACTGGATGTACTGCTATCTAGCGGTGGGCCATGACGGGTGCCTAGTTGTTGTCATATTGTCATTAATGACAACTATAGTATTTTTGGATAAACTGCCGATCACCCTTGGTGAAGCACAAGACTAAACGATGTCATTTCGTCATTAATGACAACAGTTAGCATTTTCAGCAAATACCACAGTTCACCCATGGTAAACCAAGAATCTTAACGGTGTCATTTGGTCATTAATGACAAAGTGACAATAATGACATTTTTACCAAAACAACCTTCTGGCACCTATTTAGCTGGCGTCATTTTGTCAGTAATGACAAAAATGCTAATTTTCCAATGTTTACCGGTAGCGCAAGGTCAACACCTGAAATACATAGATACTGTAGATCAGGTCATTCTGTCATTAATGACAAGCAGCGCCAGAAATCGTTACAGCTGTTGTACTCGTACCAGAGCACTCGTATCCTGCCGCGCACTGCGCTTGCAAATGTCTTTTTCTCTGTAACCAAACCGACAAACAGAATGCGCTGTTGCGCATTCAAACTCAAATCTTCACCAAAACTGACCAAAACTGGTTGACTTCTTGCATGTGCACAAGTCAGGTACTGCATTTTTGGCAGATGTTTAGTTGGCCTTAATAATTTTTGTAATCGTTAATTACTGTATGCCTCCGAAAAACCCACGTTCGAAAAAAACTGTCAATCATTCGACACGCTCGTTGCGGTCTGGCCAAACAAGACCGAAAAATAATGCGGAGGCGCCGGACGTTATCAACCCCACTGCAAAAGAAGCGACTGAAGTTGTCCTAAACTCGACCCTCGATTTTGATCTCCCAGTGGTAAAATTATTGTGCTTATTATGTATTTTGCATACTCTATCTTTAAGTAATGGCACTTTTTTTCTTGTCATGTGCAGTTTTTTTGGATTTTTATTGCAGAGAGGAAAAAAACTTGCTCGGACAGACGAATCGATTCTGCAAGAAACTGACGAGTTACAGGTATTTCGGTTTTACTAAAATTAATTTTTATTACCGTGCATGCTTAAATTGTACCAGTTATATTCATGCTATCTTATTATTATTTGTTTTGATTTTTCAAGACGTTTCTTGTTAATTTTATTAGTACTTACAGTGCTTAGTTACTTAGTTACGGAATACATGTTCAACATGCGTTCTCAGTAGTGCAAAAGCAAACAGAAAATAAGTATTTCTAGTGTAATTACTAATTCGCGATTTTTTCCGCGAACCTGCATTTCTCGTCGAGTGTCATATTTTACGAATGCAAGCTGTAGGGGAAGTCGTTGTAAATCCATTTTTATTGGTAAGATACAATTAAGTGACTTGCTGCTTCACAACTGTCCTGAATATGTTGACCTTTTCTCAGCCCACCCGATTCCGGTTTAATGGAGACCTGCGCGAACTTAAGACGTATTACTCCCCACGTAACTCCGACGAGCAGTACAGATCAATTTACTATATAGGTGTAATCAGCCTCAAGTACCGGATAGTTGAGAAGCAAGATGCGCATGCGGACGAGCGAACACGACTAACAAGCGGTTGTAGCAGCCCACTGAAGAGAGAAAAAGTCAAAGACAATGTAACCGTGGCCTTTGCTGTACAGTGGCAGTGGAAAGCTGGAGACTTACGCAAATCCTGGTATGTGTATAGCTATGAATGAGATGGCTGCAGCAATTTTCAACTGCTAAATATTATAACAAAAAACCCCAAATATTTTATGGTACAAGATTAAAAATATTAGAAAGCCAACATACACAAGTACCGCGCATTTTGTATCGCTGTGAGCAGAATCATTTGAAAGGTCACCGCTTAATTTTTTTTGTTTTCCTTCGGCTGTTATATAGTGAATTTTTCGTGCCAGCTGAAAAGAAACTGGACAAATCTGCTTACGAAAAAGCCAGGATCCATTCCGGGGATAAAGGCCAAACCATTTCCTTTTTTAGAAAGGACTTTGACGTATGGAAAGAATACATAACACTGAAATTCGACACATTTGAGCGATGAGTATTCATTTGTTAGCTATATTATTACAAGATGTAGACGCAATCATAATGCACTGCGTAAATGTAGCATTATCATAGGGCCGTAGCGAGGGTATAGGCGCACTGGCGCGCGCCTACCCCTCCTCGGCCAACTTTTGACTAATATTTGCGCCCGAAACTGGCGCACAGGCGCGCGGGCGCAAAATTTCTGGATTTTTCAAAGGGCGCAGCGGGCGCCACTGGCCATGCGCCCGTGGCGCAGAGTGGAATTTGGCCGATGTGCCTTGGTCTGAGCTACGGCGATCAGGAGCTATAATAATTAAACTATATTTTATATTAATTTAAGTAGTAAAGCGCGGCCTCTTTATACGGGCGCAACGGGCGCAGGCTTCGAAATTTATGGGCGCAGTGGGCTCAGACTGACCTTCGAAGCGGGCGCAAATGGCGCAGCCAAATTGCGCCTACCCCATCCCACGGAACTCGCTACGGCCCTGGCATTATCTGACATATGCGACGCTTGTTGACGCAACGTTTGATGTTGTATTTGGTGAGTTTTTGTTCAGGGAAGTATCAAACGATGAAGGTAGATCGCTTAAGTTGCACTGGAACCGCATCGGAATTCAAAACCAATCCGTTTTGCAAGCGGATCAAGTATTCATTTGGAACTGTCAACTGGCCCACATTTTCGACAAAAGCAAGCGCATTTTTCGTCCTGTATCTTTAGAAGAAGCCGGTTATTATAATACCTCGCTTGTCGATCTCCCGGAGGTCATGATTTCTCGAGAACGAACTGCCAACACCTTCACCGAAGACCTCCTAGAGGCAATAGGAATCCAGACTATGGTGACATTTTTCGCAGCTGTTGGTAAGAATACAGTCCCGGTAACTTTTGGATACCGACAAGTTAGCAATAGGACAGAGATGTTGCAGGTCAAACGAATATAGCACTTACTTAGACCGCTGTACATTGCAAAGGTTCTGGGTCACGATGGCGTGCCGACGCCAGTTTTCGTCGGACCGCGTAATACTGGCAAGACGGCAATGGCGCAACTCGCCGCAGCAACGAAGGGTTCTGACGGCAGCTCCAACATGCCCTTCAGCTACTATACGATTACCATCCACGAGTATTCCAAACGGTGCAAAGACAGCACTTTGCCAACTATCAGAAATAGTCTTCTGAAAACCCAGCATAAAGCTTACATGGAGTTAATTGGATTCATCTACGACGGATGTGAGAGAAAGTCTAATGCCGGCGGTTTGGTTCCTTCCGGTGCGCCGATTCTCTGCATCAACAGGGATTTTCTACGGAGGTGCGCTTGCTGCCAAAAATTTTTATTAACAGTTGGTTATTTGTTTTGAGATTAAATTAGTGGATAGGATTCATTTTTCATATCGCGGAAGCACTAGATTGCACTAGTCATTATTGACGAGATTACATGTCATTAGTGACACGGCTCAACATGCGAGATGCAGCGCAGACCTGCATGTGGTCACTTTGTCATTTTGTCACTAATGACGTAGTGACATCAGCTATCGCGGGTACCTGCGTATTGCAGATACCAGTCTGACCACTAGCAGTACTTGTGCATTTGTCATCATGTCACTAATGACACAATGACAACATTTGCGGCCAGTTGTTCTGGGATCAGTGCGGCACTTACCCGGGTGACCTTTGATAGTATCCAGTCGTTATGTCATTACTGACATAATGACACCAGAGACGACAGCTTGCTCCTTTATATCGTGTAGTTGTTGTCCCGGTCCGGCCCGCCATTGTGTCATTAATGATTTAATGACATCAGATACGGCAGCTCGCTCCTTTATCACATGTAACTAGTTGCCCAATGTGCAGGCCGGTTTTTCATTGTGTCATTAATGACATAAAGACATATGTTACTTATTATTGGTTGTCGAAATTTAAAGTTTTTTGGGCCAAAACTCGCCAGTACACGGGAATAACGCCGAACGTATTATACGCGGCTACGCCTGCCACCATAATCTGGAATTCTGGATCATAGCTGGCAGTGAGAAACTCTGAGAGCTCGTGCGATAGATTACCCAGACACAGCAGTCCCAACGAGGAAATTATCCGAAAAATTCGCGCCATGGTTAAAATTTAGAACGACTGATCGAACCGTTCGGTGCGGTTGATCGAGACGCTTTTGGTAATAAAGACGCTTTTGTGTGTTCTAACCGCCGATAAGAATCGCGTGATGTTAACTGATCGCCATCGTCTTCTTACGGATACTCGTCACAGGGGAAACCGCTAGAGTCGTAATGCGTGTCAAAACCGGGAAATGACGCGTTTCGGCTGAATCACGCGCACACATGGTGCGTCGGACTGATTTGTCAGCGTGTCCACAGTCAAACCAAAGCCAATGGAGCTGTAGAATTTCCGAGAGAATGACGCCGATAATTATGCGGATGGCGGAAGCGTCGTTCCTTGAAGAGCAATCGTCAGCAGTCGACATTGGATTATTCAGAATATAACATTCTTTCCCATATAAGACAACGCTACGGCGGTAGATCATCTAGTTAAGTTGTTGGTAGCGGTTTACTTCTGCGTCTTCACGCAAAACATGGGACTGAAGTCTGTGCTGTGTTTTGTGTGGTGCTTCACTATCGTCGGGTGCTTCGGTAAGCAAATGCCTGCTTAAAGCACAGTTTCTTTATTTGGTTTCTCAAAGCCGGAATGGAATGAAGAACTACGGACTCTTCCGGCAACTGGCGAATGACTACCATATTCGAGTTTATAGTTTATACTTTATAATAACATTTAATAACGCTGTTAATTTGATATTTGATGATATAAGAACTGCGTCAAATGCCACCAGTTCATAGAAATTAAGGCCGCAAAACCGTCTCAGTGAGCAGCGATATTCCAGTGCGCATGAGAAGAAACCGGTTCATCGGACTGACTAAATTTTAGTGTTGTGTCACTGCAGGCGGACTGATTGAAGATGACTACGGCCCCGGTAGCGGTGACAGCGTCATGTCGACCGGAGCCGACGACATGGAGTTCGTGGATGTCGGTCCAGCCGTGACCATGTCAGCGGAGGGCGCAGCGGGCACCAGCAGCCTGATTTCGCCAGAGTATCCCGACTTACCGGCACCGGCAGCGTCCATCGGCACTCTACTTTCCGCTGATTATCCCACCGAAACAGCATCTGCCGCCTCGTTGCCCTCGTCTAAAACTCAACAGGCAGCGGCGGACGATTATCCCGATCTGACCCAGAGCGCGGGAAGCAGCGATTACGACGTGGCACCATCACCCGTTCAGCAATTTGAAAAGGTGCCGGATTACGGGGAGATCAAGAGTGTCGTGATGATTATCGGTACGTGCGTCTATACGGTCTTTTCCAGCTCTTGCCACTTCAGACATCAATGCAGTACGGTTGCGTTCATGAAAACAATGTATTTTCGTATAACGATGCTGTATCTCACCACGTGGCAGTTTCCTTGTCCGTGTGGGTACAAATCGTTCATGATTGCAGATGGTGAACGGGTGCCGGACAATGAGTTCAACTTCATCGTCAGTCTGCGCAAAGACGGCGGGCATCACTGCGGCGGCTCGGTACTGGAGGATCGCAGGACAATCATCACCGCCGCGCACTGCGTCAACAAAAAGTAAGAATCTCGTCCGCGCATTGCCGATTGATAGCGTTCTGGTAAGCCGCGTTCCGCGGACTGCAACCGTTGGCTGTTGCTTTCGCTTGACCCTTAGCGAACCGAACGCTATCGGACGTCAATAGATATGGACATCGATTTTTACCGATCGCCTCTAAAAGCGTGGCGTAAATTTCTAATATCTTTCCAGTTCCACAAAACTCCGAATACGGCTCTTTGTTCATTGCTAAAGACTAAAATTAATAGATCGACGCTTTTTAGTGGAGTAACCTATCCGACATCGATACTCAGCGTCGTCGTGGGCGTTCACAAGCTATCGGCCGCCACCCCGGCCAACATCATCCCGGTCAGCCAGGTCTTCGTCCATCCGCAGTGGAACGAAGAAGCGATCGTGAAAGACATCGCCGTCTTGCGTCTGGCCCGCAGCATCAGCGACCCCAAAGTCACCAGCGTCAAACTACCTCCGCCCGACCGCAAACCGGATACCGGGCGGCCGCTCGTCGCCGCCGGCTGGGGCACCATGAAGCAGGGCCCGCAGGGTGGCCCCGCGTCCGACGACCTGATGAAGGCAACACTGAAGGTCGCCGACCACGCGGTCTGTGCGCAGAAAATGGGGCGGGACTCAAGAAATCCCATTCCGGACACTCAAATCTGTACGGAGAACGAGAAGGCGGGAACCTGCCAGGTATCAACACTATTATCGCTGTTCTGACTGGGTTCGTTCTCACCGCTGATACTGTTGCACAGGGTGATAGTGGGGGTCCCCTCATTAATCGCTTCCCAGCAGGAGATTTCTTGGTTGGACTGACGAGTTATGGAACTCGGGGGTGAGACAACGAGTAATGCAGACTTTGCATAATATCTATATAATGGTACCTAAATCGTTGTGATCGTAACCGGCGTACCAGTGATCTTTGTGGACAAGAAACCTAAATAACCGAAGAAAACCTAACCATAATTTGAGAAAACTAAAAATGAGCCTAAGAAACAAGTAACCGAGGGAATAACCTAAGAAAACTTGAAAAGGAACGTTAAGAAGCCTAAAAACTCTTGTAAACCTAAGATACCTTTAGCGGAAACACCCTGTAGGCCTGACGTTTGCTTTGCAGATGCACTCTGGGCTCAGCTGCCTTCTTTACCCGGGTCAGCGCCTTCTCCGACTGGATCGACAGGGTCGCCAAAGGCCAACAACCAGCGCCGCCTGCCGCTCCGGCACCCCCACCAGTCGGCCCCGCTCCGGCACCCGCACCAATCAACCCCCCGCCGCCGCCCGTTGCCCCCGTCCCGATTCCCGAATTCCCAGCTCCTGGACCGCCTCCCTGTAACAGTGGCTGTGATGCCGGATGGGGACCTGGTGGAATCGCCGTGGTGATCGTCCTACCGGGTGCGCCCACCGGCAGCTGCCAGCGGATGCCGGGCGCAGGGATGGGGATGTGGGGCAGGGAGATGGGTCTCATGTGTAGCGGCCGCGGTACGACTTCCGGTGGGACACGCTGCCGCTTCACGGGGCGCGGTATCCGCTGTAGTCGCAGCGGATTTATGGGACTGTATTCCACTGGCGAGGAGGCGCAGTGTTTTAATTACGAAGGCCGACGGTATTGTCCCAAGAGCGCGCTGTCGGCGTCGACTACGCCACCGAGTACTACGTCGAATGCTGACTATGATCAGTACGGCTAAATGATAATAAAGTGAATACGTTCCTGTGATTCCGTATGACTGGCTTTTTTCGAAATTTTATCGGTAGCTTTTTTGCAACAAATGATTGTTGTCGACATGACTTTTCACTTAGGTGAGTGACTGTTTATGCGCCTTGTTGGTACTTTGTATGAAAAAGTAAACGTTATCGCTGAAATTAAACGGTAAATCATATTTAGTTGTGTTGCATCATGCCGGTGTGATACCGTAACTGAGGAAGCAGTAAAACGCGACGTCTTGAGTAAATAATCACTGACTTCTCCTTGAATTTTCTTGGACAGTGTTTAAATCGGCAACATCCGATCATCTGCGACTATTTCGCTTAACCCTTCACTCCGTCAAACACCGAACCGTTCCCAAGCTTTACTCCGCTAAGTCGTTGGTCGTTGCTAATAACACAAGCGGCACGACATCAAAATCACGAAACCGTAACACGGCATTAACGTAAGAAAACGGCGGCTTCTCCGCCGTTTTAACGTACGAAAACGGGATGTACGTATTCACGGCATTAACGTAAGAAAATGCGATGTATGTATTCATCGTTAATTCGATTCCGCTCGCAAATTGGTCACTTCGACTTACGTGCACTTTACGGTTCAGAGAACTGATCGCTCAACTTATCGTTACACACGCTATTGGACCAACAGATGTGTAACACACAACGGTTGATGCTCATTAGTTGAACCGCACGGTATAAAGTGCGGATCAGCCAACGTCGGACTAACGAACATCGTGTTTTCCCAATAAACTTTATATGTTAGCGATCGGCATCAAGATCCCGCTTCCCGTTAAAAAAACTGACGCGAAGGGCTCAGTTTCCGCTAAAAGGACGTTTTTGTCGACGGATGAGTATTAACGAGGATAGAGGCAGAGCACGCATTGCATGCTCACTCCACGTGACCCCGGTAAACTGGACGTTTCATTCCGAAATACCATTAAGAAATTACGTTATAACATTTTCTTACGACCCTCTCCAACCTAAGATTATATCGATCCGCAGAAGCCTCGTCGATGTAACTATTTGCGGTTTAGGTTTAGATGGTGACGTCATTTCCGGCGGAACGGATTTTCTAGCGGATATAACGCTTACGGCTTGCTTAATGTTTGGTTAATCAAGAGCGCAAAGGAACTTCAGTAACACTTTTTCTGGGTGTACAGTGCGTACCGGATAGTTGAACTGTGGATCTCAGTTTTTGGCTCTTTCAGTTTATTTCTTACGTAGCAATGTGCCATACCGTGCCATTTCTTGTTAGATTTATTCAACAAACCATTTTATTAGCTATAGCCTATAGCCAACAGAAAACAACTACTAAACGTGTGTTGAAAAATTAAGAGATGTTTGTTAATAATGGCGCTGATTACTGCACAGCGTACAACAGCAGGATATTTTAACTTAGCCGTACTCTTGCATCCAGTAGGTGTCAGTGGCGTTCCTTGATGGTACCATTCCATGTGTCGTAATAATTATCCTGTGCACCTCATGTAGATCACCTACTGTACACGCGTCGTCACGAAGGCTGGCCGTGAAACCGCTAACCACGTGCTGGATCCAGTCCGCATAGAAACTGACCTTTGTAAAGGCCTCCGCTGTGGTCTCATTGCACCTGTATCAGCGAAAGGTTACATTCGCAAAGGACAGTAAGGGAATTGGTCAATAAACCAGCGACCGGTTCCAAACTACTCAAGAAAAAAATATGTAAAAATAAAGAACATCATACAGACTGCAGAAAGTAGAGCGGCTTATGCTGTGTCTATCGCAAAGCGGTGGCGTTTAAGCACCTTCAAGAACTGTCGCTGGTCAAGCCGATCAAATAATCCCGGCCGCCCTGACGATTTACTACCGGATTGCCGCTGTCGATCTACACAGAAAAAATCGCACTGTTATTGTCTGCCACCTTCACGCATTATTCTTCCAAGTCAGAGCGTACACTACAAACGCTTGAGGCTTCGTTTTTGAAGCATATTTGGTGGGCAGCAACTGGAATCAGCCTGGCTCCCGGTCCTACACGACGCCGGCACTCAGCACGATCCACGACCTTCACAAAGGTTCTCCAAAGCCAACCATACACTCTTTCTCCTCTCGGTGGCCACCCAACGGTGTGCAGCACCGTACCGATGCGTGGTTCCCGGTTGACCGGCGGCAGTTTCACACTGGTGACCGGAACGCCCGGGTTGCCGGCGGCACTGCGGACCAAGCGCAAGATGGCGATATCGTGAAAGGTCTCCTCGTGTTGGTAGCTCGGATGGACTACGGCGCCGCGCACGGGAATGACGCTGGAGAGCGGCACAGCGGACAGCCGATGGAGGCCGACCATCACGCTGAATTCCTCCGCTGCAACGCGTTCGCCACTGAAATGTCAATGGCTCGTAATTAACGGCGACCTCGCTCGGTACCTGGCGCTGTAAAAATCTGCCGCCCTTACGCTCCATCATGAATGCAGCGGGCGGCCGTAATGACGGACATCAAGTCCGGCAGCAACATCCACCGCAGACATGGCTATCGTTGCGGCGTACACTGACGATATAGCCGAACCCTTCACCTCCTCCAAAATGGTGATCTGCAAAAACAAACTGAATTTTTCGTTTGAAAGCCGGCTGATATCATTCCGCCAAAATAACTGTAGGCTATGAATTAGATAAGCCGTCTAACGTAAGGTTTGATCCATCCGGTGAGCAAAGGGATCCGTGAAAGATTCATCATCTTCTGGGTAGTCCGGCGGGAAGCTAGCGGTGCTTTCCAATCCATCCAAGTAGTCGTCAGCGGCGAAGAAACCCGCACTGCGACGTTTTATCAGTGTTTCGTTGTCGTCCGGGATAGTGCGACCTACGAAATAACCGTATGGCCGCGTCAGCCGAATCTTGGTCAAATAATGGTGGCGGGATTTCGTACTACATACCCGATCCCATCATCAAGCTGCAGCCGCACACAACCACAATCCACATGTACTGCATTCTCTATTCAGGATTGGAAAAACTGCTCGATTAATGTTGGCAGTCAACAGACAGTACCTTGAATTTAATTTGTATCACACTGCCGCAGCGGGCAATGATGTTTTTTCCTCACCGTTTTACTGTGAGTGTTATGAGATTCTCTGGGTGCGTCGGTTCGTACTCTTTTACGCTTTGTAAGTTGTATAACATCGAATGATTGTACACTGTTAAACGGGCGTTTATCGGTAATTGAATGGTGACGAAAATGAATTAATAATTGTCGGAGGTAGACTGAACGTTTCAAACGTCAAGCGGATGGTACGCGTTTGTAGTCCGTTTTCATGCGTAAATCGTGACGAATATCTGGATGCCGAAGGCAAGAACGTACAGCTTAGGACAAAATGGTCGCATACCCAACATCTCCACATTCAGTACGAATGCAGCGCAGTGCACTGTACGACTGAGTTCAAAATATCCGTTTCGTACAAGTGCACTGCACCGCTTGCGTACAGAATGCTGGGTATGGGGCTATGCGACCATTTCGTCCTACATTGTAATATTTGTAAAAGGCTCGTATGGGTATTAAGATCCCGTTCGTCGAACAGAAGGGCCAGGTTTCCGTTAACAGAAATTGACGTCTTTGTCGACAGATGAGTGTAAACCTGGTGGAAGTACGCACTGCATGCTTAGTCTACGTGTCTCCGGACGTGGATGTAGAGGTGCCATTAAGAAAATACGCTACAGTTGTTTCTTATGACGTTCCCCAACCAAAGATTAAATCGTTCCGCAGAAGTCCGGTCGATGTAATCGTGTTTCATTTCGAAGTTGAAACGGTGACGTTGTTTCCGGCTGATGGAATTTCTACGGGTAGTGGATACATCGCTTACTGAGTGTTTGGTTATTCAAGAACGCAAAGGAACTTTCGCCACACTGTTTCTGGGTGTACAGTTCGTACCGGGTGATTGAACCGTGTGCGTCCTCATTCAGTTTATTTCTTACAGAGAACAATGTGTCATACCGTAACTTAATAAATGTATTCAACAGCCATTTTCTTATCTGCAAAAACAATACAACGCATCTAAAAAAATGCTGACATGCTTGTTAGTCTGTAATGGCGGTGATTAAAATCGTAAAAGTATATCATAGCAAAGTATGTATATCGTATATCTATATCGTAAGTAATTGTATATCGTATCGTAAAAGTATATCGTATATCGTATAACGTAAAAGTGTATCGTAACAGTTATTATTTATTTTCAGTTTTCGAAACGCAAAATCTCGTGAAGCCTTTTCCTCGGACCAAACAATTCAATTGTTTAACTGCCTTAGGCGGAAAATCACTCCTCAATAGTAGAAGAAAATTGTTGGCATGGTGGCTGCACCGGGTGAACTGTGCAGTCAGCGAACTTGTAACTCTTCAAAAAACTGTATCTTCAAAAAACTTAAAGTTTTCTTACAGTTTTTTGTGTAATTCTTTTTGGTTATTTTCGTTACATTTTTTGGCTGCATGACAAAGTAGATAAGATTGGTAAATTTAACCAAATTACTGGCCTTCCAGCAACAAGTTTAAACAATAAATATAAATTTTTGGAGTGTTGGCGAAAAATTTGCTTTAAAACAGTGACAGCGGATTTCACGAAAAAATAAATGTGCCAGGTTAGGTCTCTGTGTCTGTACAATCTATCTTCCGCTTCTCTTCCTAACACTTTCAGTAGTGTTACAGTTCTTTACGAAAAACGAGATATGACCCCTCTAAACGAATTAGGACAATAATACTGAGACAAGCGTGAATGTGATTTGTTGAAATTTGTGTTTCCATATACCTATCAGTATCTTCCAGCTCCACCCATTATTAAAAAATAATTTAGAGAAGCCTGACCTTTGTACGAGGTTGCTTTAATTTCGTTTTCTTATCCGATTAACATTGTTTTTTCGAATAAGACAAACTTGATGCCGATCACCAAGTAATTACTCCACAGCGTTATATGTACCGAAAAGAGGAAGACCGTTCTGTTTAAATTTTAACAACCAGGTACCAAAATAAAAATAAGTAAGAAAAAACATTTATGACAAAAGCAGTCCGGTTTTATTATGTACTTTGGTACGAACGATGGTATGATCTATACGACGGCAACCGCAGAATGCATGAATTATTCCGCAGAATGTTTAAAATGTAAATATGAATGCCGGTGTTAAGGTTAACACAGATGAGGCGTGATTTACGGCGTTTTATTTCACTCAGCGCTGCAGAGGTCAAACTATAGGGCTAGCCCTTTTTTTCCGTCTTAACGCTAATGGTAATAATGTTCTCAACATTTACTCGTATTCCGCAAAGCAACCGTAAATCAACGCACAACGCTGGCTAAATGCGGTACCATCATCCCTGCGGATGTTACAACGGTGCGTTTTACTCTAGAGAGCGATACAATATCGCGCGCCTGCATGACGGAAACAGTAGCGTTCACTAGCGAACAGTGAGGAATACAACGAGCTGACAGTACAGCTGATTCTATCCCGGTGCTCGTGACAGCGCATTTCACCGTAAGACGAAAGGCAGACCAGGGTGGCTCCTTCCATGTAACAGTCTTCCAGTCCGCTAGATCCACAACACTCGTCGTCCTCCTCCTCCTCCAGGTGCTCCACTTCTTCTTCCACCGGTGCTGTTGTGGTCCGCTTGGTCCGTGCCTTGGTCCGCTTGGTCCGTGCCTTGGTGTGGGGAGCGGCCGTACTGCCGGTGGGCGTTTCGCCGTTGGCCACGCGCTGGATCCACTCCGTGAAGTGGCTGACCTTGGTGAAGACGTCCGCTGTGCCCCGTGTACACCTGCATGTTCAACGTTTAAGTCCAATGTTTTACCTATTGCGGTACTCGAATACCAGGTGGAATACTGCAGCATACTGCTCAACATTCGGATTTTAGAATAGAATAGAGGAATGGATTTTTAGAATTCTCGAAGTGTAGATTTAGGTCGAAGTATAGACGAAAAGAGGCTATTTTTAGATCCTTTTAGTCCCTGGACAGATTTTCTCGAAAAATCTATTAGGTTTAACGGTTTCATTGTAATTACCCTGGGATGCCGTAACTGGTCAAGCCGACCAAGTAATCTTTGTTATCTCGCCGATTCACCAAGGGTCCACCGCTGTCACCCTACGCAACCGAACAACGCTAGTTTATGCGAAATCGTCCTGCCAATTACCGGTTACAGCGTACCTTGCACGTTCCGGATTTCTCGTTCTCCGTACAAATCTGACTTCTCGGAATCTTCCCCGCATTCAGCTTGCGTTGGCACGTAGCGCGATCCACCAACTTGAGCGTGGTCTTCAGCAGTTGCTCCGACGCTTCGGATGCGTGCAGTCCCTCCTCCGTCAGTCCCCAGCCGGCGGTGTGTAGTGTTGTGCCGAGGGGTGGTTCTGCGTTGGCCGGCGGCAAATATACGCTGGACACGGCACCCTTACCGGCGGCACTGCCCATCAAGCGCAGAATGGCGATGTCGTTGCGAATACGGCGTCGGTCGTAATCGGGATGCACAACGGCCTGTTGTACGGCGATAATGTTGGAACGTGGCACGTTGGTCCGTTGGCGAATTCCCACCGCGACAGTTAGTTCGCTCAATGGTACGCGATCCCCGCTGCAAAAGGACAAGTTATCCACCTCATGGTTAACCTAAGAAATTGTTAGGTTCCGTGTTATAGCCGTATGGTCGCTGTGGCAACATTGCGCGCTGGCTGGATTAAATGATAATTTAACGGTTACTCGTACGCTTTGTCAAAGACGCAGTGCGCGGCGGTGATGATGGACTTCAGATCCGGCATCAGCGATCCCCCACACACATGGCGACCGTTGCGACGGATGCTGGCCATAAAGTTGAATTCGTTTGCCGGGGCAATTTCACCGTCTAAACAGGTTAAACAAGCAGTTACCCAATATATCCTCGTAGTTTTGCGTATCTTGTAAAATCTGCTGAGAAATCAGCTGGTCTACGATTGCCTACACGGTACAGAGCATTTTATTTTAAGCTCGAATGCTTTAGCTAGTCACTCCGTAACTGTAGCACTACTGTACAGCTCCGTTCACTTTAACCGTATATGGCCACTCACTTATGATCCGCGTCGAGACGGAACCGGCCACGGTATCATCCGCGTAATCCAATGGGATGATGGTGGCCGTCTCGTCGGCGAAGAAATCCAGGCTGCGAGTGCCTGCTGGGATCTTTCCCCCTGAAAAGCATGCTTGCATCAGTCTTTCTTGGCAGTTAAGTGACTTGAAACACTATTTCGTGAACATATCCTACCTGATGCTAACGACATACAGCCGCATACAACGATAATCGGTATCAACCGCATTTTTAATCCTTCGTCCAGGACGAATGACCGAAAAGTGCGTGACCCAGCGTTTTATACTGTCTCTTTTTATTACGCTAGAAGCTAGATATTCCTCCGTATCTGTTGCCTACGTCGACTGATGGACGATAACTATCACAGTGCACGGTTGTTGGTGAGGATATCCATTTGGCCGATGCCGGTATGTGACGCATTTGGAGACGGGTGCGTGTGAATTGTCAGCAGGAAATGCTATGTTCTGTGCGGGCACGTGACTGACACAGGCCGTGGCAGGTGATGCATCATCTTTCTGGTCGCGTAAATGCAGATTAAAACTTTCCCCTTTGCCGTGACGGTTCGGGAAGGACGATAAAATCGCTTCAACGAAGACAGGAATCTGACGCACAAACGTCAGATACGCTCTACGCCAGACGTACTCGACGTTTTCTGTTCATGCGGTTCGCCAAAACAAAGACATTATGTTGCCGTCATCTCCAGCGACTGGCCAGCGCTGTCTTAACTGTGGCGGGAAAGCACTGCACTTGAAGCCTTTACGTCTCCCCTTCTGTTCAATTTCCGTTTACCACAAAAGGTTGGATTTAGCTGCGCATGACCTGACGAAATGCTAAAGGTCGGTCGCCTTGGCATAGCTCACAGTACACAGACTCTGTATGCACATGTTATTGGAAATATATAAATCTGTTTTAAAATGTGCTCATCTGTCACAGAAGTTTACTAATTTTGATGGCTCAAGGGTACCAAGTATATATTTAATTTGACTGATTGATTTGGTCGAACGCGGTAGACTCTCATTACTTGTGTTACCACGTATCAGCTAAAGGGCTCCACAGCTACGATTTACGAGCAGTAGTTTTGTAACTTCGACATATTTATTTGTTCGCTCCGACTATCAACGTTAAGGTATAATATTTACAAGCCTATTGATTGGATCGATTATGACATTCTGGACCACATTTGTAGTATTAGCACGAGTAGTAACGGCAACACATCAACAAAAAATATTAACGGATGTATGATTCCATAATCACATAATATAAACCACAATATTAAGCGTGAGTTGAAAGAATTGATGAATAATAATGTACTCGTACATATACAGATATGACCTTTATCAAGAAATAACATCAATATTACTACTGGAAACTTCGTAATCTGTGGGCTCTGAATACAGCAAAGTTACAAACCAAGCTAATAAAAATAACTAAAACAAAATGTAAAACCATCGGATTCAGCATGCCCAAAAACTGTATCACATCATCGCAGGTGTTGGTTTTAAAAAGATCAACATATACCGAATGGGTGTTGCAGTGCCAGTACACGGTATCGGTACAGTGATAATCTCAAAAACAACACTGAAAAAAAATCAAAATGCGTTTGCACAGAGAAGACCCATTACCGAGACTGATCAAACTGAAGAGAAGACGTCACTTTAAGCTAGAAATTATTGAACGCAGTTAAATTAACGGGCAGCAAAATGTTGTTTGTTTAACGTAGGTCTAGTACTAAGAAAGGGCTGCTCGTAATGGCCGGCTGTTAAGACTGCTTGCTAATTAAGTACTCGTAGCAATCAAACGAAATCTTCAATTGCAAAAGTCAGCGAGAGATTTGACTTTAATTAATTATGTCTGCAAACAGATGACGACAACTTACAAAATATTAATACATGTGGGCATTCCTGCTCGTTTCAAACACCGGTGAAGACGATAACAGCGAATTCCGATAAAAATTGGCTGGAGCCATTTAATTTACTACGGTGCGCTACGCCACTTAATCCCGGCATGTGTGATGCTGTGACAGTTTCATGCGGCAAAGGGTGCTCCCAGTCGCTGCATCCACTATACAACAGTGACTGTAGCCCACCAACAGTGCTAGTTTTCGACAATTTAGATTGTCATACAATATCGCGCGCCTCCATGGTAAAAGCAGTGCAGTCGACTACTGGACGGCGAAGAATATGAGGAACTCAGGTAGCACCGGATGCGATCGCCCATGGGCTGGCAGTGCATTTCCCCATCCGGCGTTTGACAGACCAGGGTTAGTCCCATCATGTAGCAGTTCTCCAGGCCACCGGATCCGCTGGACCCACCACATCCGGATCCGCCCATACCCGGAAATCCACCGCCACAACCACCGGGTTGAAAACTGCCGCCCCAGGTTCCATCATCATCGTTATCAGCAGCAGGAGGCGCTGGCGTGGGCCGGCGCCATGGTGAGGGAGCAGAGGCACTGCCGCTGCCGGGGATTTCCCCGTTAGCCACGCGCTGGATCCAGTCCGTAAAGTGGCTGACTTTCGTGAAGGCGTCCGCTGTACCCAAGCGACACCTAACAACACAACGAACCGGTTAATAATCAATCGCAGCGCGTTGTACAGCAGCCGTTCAGAAAAGGCTTTTACAATCTTGTCGGGTGTCGATTACAGCACTATGACAGCATCACTGTCTATGGTTCAGTAAAAAGTAAGCGGTGAACCCAGGAACGCGGTTTCACGGTCACCGCATTAGAAAGAACTCAAATCCTATCTATAAAACGCATTACTAATTTATTTGATAAAACGTTTTACCTAGGGAACTCCCTACTGTAGAGTTAAAGGATATCAGCAGTATTAATGATGACTAGGCAGACCAGTGGTATCGCTTAAACTGAATGGATAGACCAACGTACCCTCTAACGCCGTAACTAGTCAAGCCGACCAAATAATCCACGCCTTTCCGACGATTGACTAATGGGCCGCCGCTGTCACCCTACGCCAACGGAAATAGGCATATAATATTTTCTTAACCAGTTCCAGTAGTTCAGGCGCTTACATTGCAAGTGCCGGACACTGCGTTCTCGGTGCAGATCTGGCTCGCGGGAATCTGTCCAGCCGACAGCGCCCGCGCACACTTAGCGCGATCCACCACTTTCAACGTAGTTTTCAGTAATCGCTCGGCGGACGGCGCATACGGTCCTTCCTGTGTCCGGCCCCAGCCGGCGGTGTGCAGCGGCGTACCCACATCCGGCTCGGCATTGGCCGGCGGCAGCTGCACACTGGTCACGCCCACTTTGCCGGCGGCACTGCCCTTCAAGCGCAGAATGGCGATGTCGTTGAGAATCCGCTCCCGGTCGTAATCGGGATGGACCACCGCCTGACGCACTTGCAGGAGGTTGGCGGACGGGACGTTGGTACGGCGCCGGATGCCCACGGCGACGGTGAGGTCGCCTTCGGGTACCCGGTTTCCACTGCGGTGTAACACAAAACGGAATAAAGTTAGGGAGAAAAGTGGCGTTTTGTCCGCTCCTTACTATCGGTCATAGACGCAGTGCGCCGCAGTGATAATGGACTGCATATCCGGCATCATAGAACCACCGCAAATATGGTCACCATCCCGGCGAATGCTGACGATAAAGTGGAACTCATCATCCGGCGCGGGTGTACCATCTGCCAAACGGCCCACATAATTATTTTAAATTCAGTGGTTTCTAGAGAACTTTCGATCATTGACCACAAGCTAACAGTTCTAGCTACAAATGCAAACGAAACAACAGAAATCGGTCGGTCCGACGGCGGCTCAAAAATTTAATAAAAAAGTTGTAAAACCACCAAATAGGGTGCGCATTCGATGTGCATAAATTGCCAGCACCGGGTTCGACCAGTGACGTGCGCGTTTGTGCAGTAAACATTAGAACGAAGCATACACTTTTCTGTGTGTTTTTACAGTTACTCTAATTTCTACTCACCGAGGTACGCAAAATTTATAGCCAAATAAAAAAATATTCACAAAAACGAGCGGTAATGTACGTAATGTGCTTTTGGGGAGAGGCAGCCGTTCAAAGTACCGCTAAACCGCGGCCACAGTAATAAAGGTATAAGAAAAAGCGAAATAACCGAAAAGCGATGGAAGATCTCTTTATAACAGTAAAAGTATAACTACTAATCATCGCCGTCGCTGTGATCAACTTACTGATGATACGTCCAGCAATACCCTCGCCTTCCGTGGGTTGGGCCGGGCGGGAGGAAGGAGCTGCGGCGGCTGACACATCCGGATAGTCCAGCGGGATAATCGTGGCACTGTCCGGCGCCTGGAAATCGTCGTTAGCGGCAAAAAAGTCCACACTGCGCCCGGTCAAGGGCGCGGGCGTGCTGCTCTCGTTATCCTCGTAGTCAACGGGGATAATGCTACGCACCGGATCGCCTGCAAAGGCCGTCACCAGGTCCACGCCTAATTATTAGGTATATAACCTAAGTAGGGCTAAACCTACGTACCGTGCGCCACCGTCCAACAGCAGCCGGCAACAACTACAATCCATGTATACAGCATTCTCATATAGCGCTGTTTAAAAATGCCATAATCGGGTAGCGTTCCCATATATCCGGCTTTATTTACCGTATATATAGGATTGAACCTGTTTTCGCATTTCATCTGCTCGTCACTGCACTGCAAGCTGACGAACGATTTAATCAGCAGGATTGTTCTGCGTAGAGATACGGAACCGGCCGATGCCGTTTATTACGTGTCGTGGAAATGGGTGCGTCTGGACTGCGACCAGGAAGCGCGTTATAGAGGACACGTGGGGTCTAACGTGTAACAGCAGAAAAGGCGAACGTCTTTTGACGTCAATCACGTTCGCAGCATGCCGATTGCATCGCTTCAAGGAAGCCCGATTACTATCCAGCTACCACATCCTTGAAGCACGCAAGCCAATACATGTAGTCATCCAGATACCTATGTCGCTATCAGGTTGTGTTCCATGAAATTTAATTATCGTTTCCGTTTTACTAGGCCAAAATAACACTGTCTGGAAGTAGAGTCACACTCGCATGTTTTGCACTTGAAACTGTAAAATGGACGTTACAATGTTCAAAAAATTTCTGTTGAAACGGGGAAAAAATAAAATAGACTTGATATTGATTAACACTCGGCTTCACAGCCGAGTATTTATCGTAACTAGGCAGCTCGGTGTCTTAGAAAAGCTTCAAGAGGATCAAGAGACTTCAAGACGAGCAAAGTTTCAAGAGGATCGGGTAATGACCAAACAGCATTACGACCCATCCTATTCATTTCATAAACCTTTCCAAAGTATTGGAAATCGCCATATGGTAGCAGCCGCACGGTATTTTCTGCGCGCACATACGGTATTCAGACCAGTGCATGTACTGTACAGACTCTGGTAACAATGTACTGTACAGTACATATTGTTACGGAGTGCGCGAAAGCGGGAGTTTTAGTTACGATTTATCGGACCATTTTCCTTGAGCATTCACCAGTTTTCGAAATGCGCTTTGTACTTTCTGATGATGTTAGCAATGTGGTGCTAAATGCAACGCCGGTCTTTACTGCCGTAGAATAATTTTGAAAACGCTGAACTTTTATATTCGCTTTTTATGTTCGGTTTAGCCAAAAAAACGAAGTGGCTATTTTGCCGCAGTATTTGCGGTAAAATAGCCATTAGCTATTTTACCGCACTATGGTCGGCAAAATAGCCTTTTGCTGCTATTTTGCCGCACACTGTGTTACAATAGTCGTTAGCTATTTTGCCGCAGTATGGGTGGCCAAATAGCCTATAGCTATTTTGCCGCAGTATGGGTGGCCAAATAGCCTTTAGCTATTTTGCCGCCGTCTCCGATTAACACAGAACAGTTTTAGTAGCTGTTGAAAGTTATCTGTCTACGGAGAAATCGGTAGCGTAGTGCGGGGGCTGCAATGCTCTGGGATCCCATTTACGGGAGCAAACCGTCCATCCATGGCATTCAGACATCCGCTAGACGATAAAGTTTTCAATCCTTCCAGTAAGTTCCGGGCCTCCAAAGCGTCTGGCGTAAACTTTGCCAACGCAGTGTTTTTCGCGTTTCGCTCAAGAATCACCGGTTTCCCTTGAAAATCCGATCCAATCGTTCTCGTTTATGCGAACAATTACCATACATTCGGTCTTCGGATAATAAACGTGCGTTCCGGCCTGGTCACTGCAGAATACAGTGCGACCAGGGTCGGAAATATCGGATCAGTCGGCCAAGCTGAGCAACAGCAGCTTTAGTGAACAATCGTGGATGGGGACTCGCCCCAGTGTTACACTGACACGGAACCGTACGAACGACCTGATAAGGATCAAGTTGTCCGGATCCGGCTTATCGTCGGCATGATGCAGGGAGCCTAAACCTGGTCGTTGATCAACGCGTCCAAATCGCAGATATAGGTCGACACGTCGAGTTCAGCAGTTAGTACGCCTCTGAGCCCGAGGACTTGGTTAGAGCAGTAGCAGGCGAAATATTGACTCAGCGACGACACCGCTCGGATAGCCGAGGATACCGGCAAGTCCATTAACAACGACCCGGGCAGGTCTGAAAAATTAATGGCTGAGTGGTGTCGCTCAATCTCGGACTTTGCGGGGTGAATCCATCTGGGCGGTATATTCGACACGCGGAACGGCTTGGCAGACATAAGGAATCCAGCCGGTATAGCGGATCCGTGAGACGGCTTCTGCCCGTTCAGTATGACACGTCGGCCCCGTTTCAGATACCAACCCGGGACGGCACCTCCCGACTTTTCCGGTAAAGTGCTGCCAAACCCGGTTTAACCGGTATTTGCAGGCATCCGCGCAGAAGTCCGACATGATGCCGCAGCAATACAGGATTTGATCGGGCAGCCGATTGGCTCTATGCATTAACCTACCAAAGTCAGGTACCCGAAGGAGTGCGAATATCAAAATGAAAATTTGCAGTTCATAGTAAAATAATTTAATTAAGAAAAATTTATTTTTGGGGAATTTTTGTGACCATAGGTCAAGCAGGGCGATAGCCTGCCAAACTGACAGGGATGGGCATCCTGCCATTTGGCAGGTCACACGCCGAAATTCGTAGAAAATTATTGGAAGATGGCACTGAGCAGCACGCCCACTTAAACAAAACATTTTGAAAAGCCCTACACTTCTCTGACGCTAATGTGGTCATCAAGATGACCAGTGGTCAGTAACGCAGAAAATTGTGAAAACATACATTTCTTGGCTGGTAGTTGCTAAAAAAGCTAGTGTCTACTTGGTCTGCATATAGAATCGTTTAGAATGATCTTAAGTTATAAAAAGATCGACAAAATGCATCCTTTCCTGTGAATTTGTGGTGGTTGTCGCTTCAGCCCGTGTTTGCCTGCGTGTTGAGAACTTGTGCTTCTCTTCGTTTTGTTGCCGCTTACTTTTGGTGCTGACTAAGCTGACTTTTGGTGGACTTTTAAGTGAGTAAAGGGTACGAATAATAGTCTACACAGTCTACAAACAGTCTTTGAGCCGAAAACCAAAGCGACAAGCCGCACAGTACTACTAATAGTGAATGGTGCACATTTGCACAGGATATTTCATTTCCGCATGGTCATTTCCGCTCCCAGCCGCTATGGCACGGCAACTCCACAAAGCCGATGCGCCGGGAGCATGCAGCAACTAAGTTCAATTTCAAAAAACTGTATAACGACGTTTTTACATAAATCAGTTTCACATTAAATCAAATGATACCGTTCCGCCATATGCCGGGATAGGTAGAGGTGTGCATTTCGTTCGCTTGCTGAATGTAAATTAGAACCCATCTCTAAAATTTCGGTGCCACAAAACAAAAAAAAACACCTATCTCTCGGTAATTTGCGTCAGTCTTTGCAGTTTACACTTTATTTGTACATAGTTGTTCAAGTTTTACCACTAAAAAAAGTGAATTTTCAAAAGTTTTTGTTTGCTGACCACTGGTCATCTGGATGACCATCAAAACACTGCAGTTTATACTACCCTTTTTTCTCGATTTTCTGATTCCTTGTTCCGTTTTTTATTATGTTTCTAGGATTTTATGTAGAATTGGTAAAATTTATTGTTAAAGTAGCACCGTGCCCATCCCTGTCAAACGTGGCAGGAAATTTTTAAATGACCATCTTTGTCCACTGTCCACCTATTTTGCGGACCATGCAATACTTTTCCAACGTCTGCCACAGGGCTGGCTTAAATAAATTATATGTGAATTATCGGGTGCTTGGGTGGCCGTATGTACAACCAAGACCTCCGCGAGCCCCCAAAGGTGCCATTTTGGTGATATTTGGCCACTTGCTGTGTGCCCCAACCATACTGTATCTAATGGCCAAATTTTTAAAATGGCTTACAACATCCTTACTCTGGAATAAAGTCACTAACTACGAGGTTTCTGCGGTGTGGGACGAGACAGGAATTAAGTCCGCCACCCTGCCATTTGACAGGGATGGTCGGGAACGGGTTAACTGGCCATCGTGGTGCAGCAGCCCGACATAGCGTTGCAAAAACCCGTCAATTTGGGAAAGCAGTTTATCTTGGCCGGATAACAACTCGACACAGCACAGCGGCCAGCTGTCGGGGAACAGCGATCGGCCGCGGTTGCACATCAACCAGAACATGTATACCGACGACCTAAACGGACACTGCGGCAACCGGAAATCGTACCACGCCGACCTATATGGATGGTGTGGCAGCCACCCACAGTGCAACTGCGGGATCGGACACAGGATCAACGGGATCGATTGGAAAGCTGTGACTGCCGGAAAACGGCAGTCACAGCCACGTTTACCAATATCGAGGAGGACAGTCGTCGCCGATACTGGTCGGCCCGACTTTGGCGAGACGGAGGGAAATGGGAGTCGGAAGAACTAATCAAAGAGGGACCGCCGATTCCAACGCGTTCCGACGTAAACGCGAGCTGAGGACAGAGAAAAGTTGCTAGAATTGCAGTGTTGCTTTACTTAGTAAACAGAAGGTGAACTGGCAGTAAACAGTAAACAGTAACCTAATATTAAACAGTAAATAAACAGTAAAGTTTTTTCAGAACAGTAACAGTAAAAGTAAGTAAAGATTTCGGACTGACAGTAAACAGTAAGTCAACAGTAAAGGAAAATTTTTAGATTTTTTACTATGATTTTTACTGGAATTTACAGAGATTTTAACCGAAAATTGTTTGTTACCTTCGCGCGCGCAAAATTTGTCTGCTTGTAGTGCAATTTATTGCCAAAATCCAAATGAGCAAGACTGACGTGCAGTTGGTGTCCTGCGCAGTGTGCACTCATGCCGTGCACCGTTTAACTTTCCTTGGCAAAAAACAATTTTCTTATTGAAATTTTTGGCCTTGCAGAAAGTATTACTAAGTATTACTGGTTTACTTAGTAAAGTAAATTTTGAGGCGAACAGTAAACAGTAAATAAACAGTAAAGGTTTGGGCAAAGAAACAGTAACAGTAAAGTAAAACAAAAGTATGCGACAGTAAACAGTAAGTAAAGTTCCAAAACTGGCAGTAAAGCAACACTGTAGAATTGGCAAACCGTATACAGCCGAAAGAGTGTCGGGGAACCATGACTGCCGGAACGC